ACGGTTTGTATAGGTATCTGTATACTCATCAGGTGAAGGTTGTTCTAAGACATAGTGTTTACTACAGTTGGTATGGGTATTTGTATACTCACCAGTTAAAGGTTGTTCCAAGACATGGTGTGTACTACAGTTGGTATAGGTATCTGTATACTCATCAGGTGAAGGTTGTTTGAAGACATGGTGTTTACTACAGTTGGTATAGGTATTTGTATACTCACCAGGCGAAGGTTGTTCTAAGACATGGTGTGTACTACAGTTGGTATAGGTATTTGTGTACTCACCAGGCGAAGGTTGTTCCCAGACATGGTGTGTACTACGGTTGGTATAGGTATCTGTATACTCATCAGGTGAAGGTTGTTCTAAGACATAGTGTTTACTACAGTTGGTATAGGTATTTGTATACTCACCAGTTAAAGGTTGTTCTAAGACATAGTGTTTACTACAGTTGGTATAGTTATTTGTATACTTACCAGGTGAAGGTTGTTCCCAGACATGGTGTTTACTACAGTTGGTATAGGTATTTGTGTACTCACCAGTTGAAGGTTGTCCCCAGGCATGGTGTGTACTACAGTTGGTATAGGTATTTGTATACTTACCAGGTGAAGGTTGTTCCCAGACATGGGGTGTACTACAGTTGGTATAGGTATTAGCATACTTACCAGGTGAAGGTTGTTCCCAGACATGGGGTGTACTACAGTTGGTATAGGTATTTGTATCCTCACCACGCGTAGGTTGTTCCCAGACATGGTGTGTACTACAGTTGGTATAGGTATTTGTATACTCACCAGGTGAAGGTTGTTCCCAGACATGGTGTTTACTACAGTTCGTATAGGTATTTGTATACTCACCAGTTAAAGGTTGTTCCCAGACATGGTGTGTACTACAGTTGGTATAGGTATCTGTATACTCATCAGGTGAAGGTTGTTCTAAGACATAGTGTTTACTACAGTTGGTATAGTTATTTGTATACTTACCAGGTGAAGGTTGTTCCCAGACATGGTGTTTACTACAGTTGGTATAGGTATTTGTATACTTACCAGGTGAAGTTTGTTCCCAGACATGGTGTTTACCACAGTTGGTATTGGTATCTATATACTCATCAGGTGAAGGTTGTCCCCAGACATGGTGTTTAGTACAGTTGGTATAGGTATTTGTATACTCACCAGGTGAAGGTTGTTCCCAGACATGGTGTTTACTACAGTTGGTATTGGTATCTATATACTCATCAGGTGAAGGTTGTTCCAAAACATAGTGTTTACTACAGTTGGAATAGGTATTTGTATACTTACCAGTTAAAGGTTGTTCCAAGACATGGTGTACTACAGTTGGTATAGGTATTTGTATACTTACCAGATGAAGGTTGTTCCCAGACAAGGGGTGTACTACAGTTGGTATAGGTATGTGTATGCTCACCAGGTGAAGGTTGTTCCCAGACATGGTGTGTACTAAAGTTGGTATAGGTATCTGTATACTCATCAGGTGAAGGTTGTTCTAAGACATAGTCTTTACTACAGTTGGTATAGGTATTTGTATACTCACCAGTTAGAGGTTGTTCCAAGACATGGTGTGTACTACAGTTGGTATAGGTATCTGTATACTCATCAGGTGAAGGTTGTTTGAAGACATGGTGTTTACTACAGTTGGTATAGGTATTTGTATACTCACCAGGCGAAGGTTGTTCCAAGACATGGTGTGTACTACAGTTGGTATAGGTATTTGTATACTCACCAGGCGAAGGTTGTTCTAAGACATGGTGTGTACTACAGTTGGTATAGGTATTTGTGTACTCACCAGGCGAAGGTTGTTCCCAGACATGGTGTGTACTACGGTTTGTATAGGTATCTGTATACTCATCAGGTGAAGGTTGTTCTAAGACATAGTGTTTACTACAGTTGGTATGGGTATTTGTATACTCACCAGTTAAAGGTTGTTCCAAGACATGGTGTGTACTACAGTTGGTATAGGTATCTGTATACTCATCAGGTGAAGGTTGTTTGAAGACATGGTGTTTACTACAGTTGGTATAGGTATTTGTATACTCACCAGGCGAAGGTTGTTCTAAGACATGGTGTGTACTACAGTTGGTATAGGTATTTGTGTACTCACCAGGCGAAGGTTGTTCCCAGACATGGTGTGTACTACGGTTGGTATAGGTATCTGTATACTCATCAGGTGAAGGTTGTTCTAAGACATAGTGTTTACTACAGTTGGTATAGGTATTTGTATACTCACCAGTTAAAGGTTGTTCTAAGACATAGTGTTTACTACAGTTGGTATAGTTATTTGTATACTTACCAGGTGAAGGTTGTTCCCAGACATGGTGTTTACTACAGTTGGTATAGGTATTTGTATACTTACCAGGTGAAGTTTGTTCCCAGACATGGTGTTTACCACAGTTGGTATTGGTATCTATATACTCATCAGGTGAAGGTTGTCCCCAGACAAGGTGTTTAGTACAGTTGGTATAGGTATTTGTATACTCACCAGGTGAAGGTTGTTCCCAGACATGGTGTTTACTACAGTTGGTATTGGTATCTATATACTCATCAGGTGAAGGTTGTTCCAAAACATAGTGTTTACTACAGTTGGAATAGGTATTTGTATACTTACCAGTTAAAGGTTGTTCCAAGACATGGTGTACTACAGTTGGTATAGGTATTTGTATACTTACCAGATGAAGGTTGTTCCCAGACAAGGGGTGTACTACAGTTGGTATAGGTATGTGTATGCTCACCAGGTGAAGGTTGTTCCCAGACATGGTGTGTACTAAAGTTGGTATAGGTATCTGTATACTCATCAGGTGAAGGTTGTTCTAAGACATAGTCTTTACTACAGTTGGTATAGGTATTTGTATACTCACCAGTTAGAGGTTGTTCCAAGACATGGTGTGTACTACAGTTGGTATAGGTATCTGTATACTCATCAGGTGAAGGTTGTTTGAAGACATGGTGTTTACTACAGTTGGTATAGGTATTTGTATACTCACCAGGCGAAGGTTGTTCCAAGACATGGTGTGTACTACAGTTGGTATAGGTATTTGTATACTCACCAGGCGAAGGTTGTTCTAAGACATGGTGTGTACTACAGTTGGTATAGGTATTTGTGTACTCACCAGGCGAAGGTTGTTCCCAGACATGGTGTGTACTACGGTTGGTGTAGGTATCTGTATACTCATCAGGTGAAGGTTGTTCTAAGACATAGTGTTTACTACAGTTGGTATGGGTATTTGTATACTCACCAGTTAAAGGTTGTTCCAAGACATGGTGTGTACTACAGTTGGTATAGGTATCTGTATACTCATCAGGTGAAGGTTGTTTGAAGACATGGTGTTTACTACAGTTGGTATAGGTATTTGTATACTCACCAGGCGAAGGTTGTTCTAAGACATGGTGTGTACTACAGTTGGTATAGGTATTTGTGTACTCACCAGGCGAAGGTTGTTCCCAGACATGGTGTGTACTACGGTTGGTATAGGTATCTGTATACTCATCAGGTGAAGGTTGTTCTAAGACATAGTGTTTACTACAGTTGGTATAGGTATTTGTATACTCACCAGTTAAAGGTTGTTCTAAGACATAGTGTTTACTACAGTTGGTATAGTTATTTGTATACTTACCAGGTGAAGGTTGTTCCCAGACATGGTGTTTACTACAGTTGGTATAGGTATTTGTATACTTACCAGGTGAAGTTTGTTCCCAGACATGGTGTTTACCACAGTTGGTATTGGTATCTATATACTCATCAGGTGAAGGTTGTCCCCAGACATGGTGTTTAGTACAGTTGGTATAGGTATTTGTATACTCACCAGGTGAAGGTTGTTCCCAGACATGGTGTTTACTACAGTTGGTATTGGTATCTATATACTCATCAGGTGAAGGTTGTTCCAAAACATAGTGTTTACTACAGTTGGAATAGGTATTTGTATACTTACCAGTTAAAGGTTGTTCCAAGACATGGTGTACTACAGTTGGTATAGGTATTTGTATACTTACCAGATGAAGGTTGTTCCCAGACATGGTGTGTACTACAGTTGGTATAGGTATCTGTATACTCATCAGGTGAAGGTTGTTCTAAGACATAGTGTTTACTACAGTTGGTATAGGTATTTGTATACTCACCAGTTAGAGGTTGTTCCAAGACATGGTGTGTACTACAGTTGGTATAGGTATCTGTATACTCATCAGGTGAAGGTTGTTTGAAAACATGGTGTTTACTACAGTTGGTATAGGTATTTGTATACTCACCAGGCGAAGGTTGTTCCAAGACATGGTGTGTACTACAGTTGGTATAGGTATTTGTATACTCACCAGGCGAAGGTTGTTCTAAGACATGGTGTGTACTACAGTTGGTATAGGTATTTGTGTACTCACCAGGCGAAGGTTGTTCCCAGACATGGTGTGTACTACGGTTGGTATAGGTATCTGTATACTCATCAGGTGAAGGTTGTTCTAAGACATAGTGTTTACTACAGTTGGTATGGGTATTTGTATACTCACCAGTTAAAGGTTGTTCCAAGACATGGTGTGTACTACAGTTGGTATAGGTATCTGTATACTCATCAGGTGAAGGTTGTTTGAAGACATGGTGTTTACTACAGTTGGTATAGGTATTTGTATACTCACCAGGCGAAGGTTGTTCTAAGACATGGTGTGTACTACAGTTGGTATAGGTATTTGTGTACTCACCAGGCGAAGGTTGTTCCCAGACATGGTGTGTACTACGGTTGGTATAGGTATCTGTATACTCATCAGGTGAAGGTTGTTCTAAGACATAGTGTTTACTACAGTTGGTATAGGTATTTGTATACTCACCAGTTAAAGGTTGTTCCAAGACATGGTGTGTACTACAGTTGGTATAGGTATCTGTATACTCATCAGGTGAAGGTTGTTTGAAGACATGGTGTTTACTACAGTTGGTATAGGTATTTGTATACTCACCAGTTAAAGGTTGTCCCCAGACATGGTGTTTACTACAGTTGGTATAGGTGTTTGTGTACTCACCAGGTGAAGGTTGTTCCCAGGTCTATTCCAATAACAGGTTCGAGATCTTCAACATCCGGGGGAGTCGTGCAGGCTTGCACGTGCCAACATGTTGTCAATAGCAACAGCCCTACACATGTGGGTATTGTACGCATGTTGTTGTGTCTGTTTAGCTGTCGGAAATAATCGGACTGGGATAAAGAAACTCCGCCGTGTGACACCCGAGTGTAAACCAAACCAGTGGTCAGTACTTGTATTCTGTAAAAGACAACAAGTGACGATTGATACGAGAGCAGGCTATATGCAAATCCGCTTGATATCTAAGCATGACATTCTGCCACCACTGATACTACCACCCCCATAACTACTACCACTACTACTACTGCTGTTGCTACAACTACAAGTACTACTACCACTGCTACTACTACTCCTCCTCCTCCTACTACCACTACTACTACCATCACCACAACTACTACTACTACTACTACCGCTGCTGCTGCTCCGCCTCCCCTACTACTACTACCACTGCTACTACAACCACTACTACTACTACCGCTGCTGCTACTATCCCTACTACCACTGCTACTCCGCCTCTTGTTACTGCTACTACTTCCACTGCTACTAATGATACTACTACCTCTGATGTTGCTGCTGCTACTACTACCAGTACTACTACCACTGCTACTATTGTAACTGTTACTACTACTACTACTGCTGCTATTACTACTAATGTTCCTACTCCTTATAGGGCTACTACTACTGCGACTACTTCTTCTTCTAGTTCTACTACTCCTACTCCGACCGCTACTACTACTACCGCTGCTGCTGCTGCTACTAGTACTACTCCTACTACTGCTACTACTGTTATAACTGCTGCTACTACTACTGCTCCTACTACAATTCCTACTACTACTGCTACTACTGTTATTACTGCTACTACTACTCATACTTCTGCTACTACTACTAATACTGCTACGCATTCTACTTATACTACTACTATTACTAATATTGCTATCACTACTACTACAACTACTGCTACTACTACTGCTACCTCTTGTCACTAGCACCACTACCACAAATACTTACTCAACTATAACTACTAAAAATATTACTACTTCTACTACTTCAAATTTACTCCTGCCATTACTACTACTATTACTGTTCCCACTGATGCTGATGCTTTTACCAGTCATTACAAGTACGACTTATATTATTATTACATTTCACTTATCTCTGCTGTTCTTGTTACTGTTGCTATAGTTACTACACGTATTAAGACATATGTTTGTAAGAGGCGGCAAAATGGATTAGGCGGCCAGTCTCGGTCACTTGGTATATTGCGACTCATCGTACCCGACGGCGTGGCACTTTGCTCAGAATATCAACCACTGGTATGTCTGTCTGATACACCTGGAATGGTGTGAGTGTGACTACTACCACTACTGCGACAACCGCTTGTATTGTTGCAATACGACCAAAAATCAATAAGAACTACGTTTCAATATTGTTTTTCTATCAAATTATGTATTTTGATTAATCTATCAAACAATATTGTGACATTTGTTACTCTGTAAAAAAAACATTGTTTCGTTTCGGATACGATCCCTCTTTCGATCAACGCTCGGAAAACATTGACCAATCAAACATCAAGTTAAAATTAGCTCACGTACCTGCGTTGTCAATGAAAGACGTCTGAAGGCTGTTATCGTTCCTGGCTACGCATAGTGTCATTTTCCCAACATCTTTGTTGTCACATGGAGAGTACAGAGAGACCATTACAAACATGTTACCATGGTGTTTTATAGAGCTGTATTCGCGAGAGTAGAGAGACAGAGGACCATCATATCAGCCAGCATAGATATAACCCAGCGGCGTGGCCTGTATCGACTGGGCAGCGATACCGGATTCATACTCTCTGATTGGCTGGCGACATCCAACTGTATAATGATGTACACGTAAGCGGTTGACTGTGTTTTGTCGTCGTAATCTGGTGAAATAACTTTACAAATGATGAAATGTACGCAGTCAGTGTGGGTTCTTAGCCTGTACTAGCTTCCACCACGGAATGGTGTATGACTAGCGACACTCGTATACCTCATGTTGCAGCACGGTGGATATTGTGTTGTCTGCTACGTCCAATGAATGAATGAATGCGTGAATGTATGAAAGAATGAATGAATGCGTGAATGTACGAAATAATGGATGAATGCGTGAATGAATAAATGAATGCGTGAGTGAATGAACAAACGAACGAATATATATTTCACAAAGTGCAGATACTCCACATACCAGAGCCTATGCTGTCAAAGAGCGTCAAAAGAAAGCAACTTCTTACAACCCGACCTCTTTCTCTGATTGTAAACTCATACACATTGTTTTCAGATACGCAGATTTCTTAAGAAATCGGTTCCCTGTGGGATGTTAGGTTTTTCCAAATCATCTGTGCGTCGTAAATAGCGTTTTTCCCAGGAGTGTGTGCGCCGTAATGATTTTATGAAAAAAGTCTTATGTATAATAAATTCTGAGTTTCGTATCGCGAGGCCAAGTAGGATTTCGCGTGTATTTAATAATCTGTTCGTTATCCGGACTATATGCCTACCTTCAGTGACGAAGTGAAAACCATAACTTAGATATTGACGCAGTATTACATACTGAGGTATAAAACAGCATTCACTCTCCCACTTACATGTTCTCACCTCCAAAAGAAACGCGAACCATAGAAACATATAGAGAAGTATGTACGTTAAGAAGAGATGTTTCCAACGTGTACCTCTTAATGGTAAAACTAACAATCAGTCAAGTGTTACCACGGGTGTCTTTATTCTTATCACGATACGCTGCACGTGATTTCCAAATTTTACAAACTAATATTGCACGAGACAAATGGTGCATCTCGAGTCATGGATCCATGACGTCACATATGATGCTTTATGAGCGTCGATCACACAACATACCATGTTTGTTTGTGCGTCGAACCAATATGAGTATTCTTCAAATATTAACCAACATGTATGGTATTCTCGTTTCTTATGTCGGTGGGTATATTAACATTCTTATTCCCTTATTCGATACCTTTTCAAAACTGATCCGGGGGCACGGGTTGCCCAGTCGTCTAAGGCGCCGCGATTCGCTGTGCAGAGTTGCGCCCTTGGGCACGCCAGAAACCTATGATTGTGGGTTCGAATCCCGGTTCGCCCCGATTATGTTTCTAGGTTTGTCAGCACCATACCCGTGCTCGTGGGTTTCACCGAAGTGGTAAATGTCTGAGACCTGCATCACTTCAGGCTTTCCTCCCACTTTAAGCTGACACGCCGTGATGTAACTGGAATATTGTTAAAAGCGGCGTTAAACCCAACTCACTCACTCACTCAAAACTGATCCATAATGGTTTCGAACGGAGATATTCCTTAAAATTTGATGCAATCGCAACTGAATACAGAATATATATTTGACTTTCACACTACTTGGTAAGGGGATGTCCGGTAGTCCCTTCCCCAGGTTTTGTGACCATAATCGCAATTGTGAAAATGTTGAACCCTTCAAACAAATTTTAACATAAAACATAATTAGATCTGCTATTTCGTGAACTGTAAAACTGTAAAACTTGCTGATATCTTCACAACAAACTTGAGGAATACATCTTTTTGAGAATATTTTAATGGGTGGGCAGGCACAGCGAAGTTGAAATTCTTGATTGTTCATATTTTTGGAACAACACTGATATTTATATATTGACATGTAAACATTCATCTCATACTCAAACGTCATAATCAAATACATTATCGTCTCTTGCATGCGTATATTCCCTACACATGTTCATTTACATAGCTTATATTCCCTACATCAGACATTAGTTCATTTACATAGCTTATATTCTCTACATCACACATATGTTCATGTACATAGCTTATATTCCCTTCATCTCACACGTGTTCATGTACATAGCTTATATTCCCTTCATCTCACACGTGTTCATGTACATAGCTTATATTCCCTACATCTCACACATGTTCATGTACATAGCTTATATTCCCTACATCACACACGTGTTCATGTACATAGCTTATATTCCCTACATCACACACGTGTTCATGTACATAGCTTATATTCCCTACATCACACACGTGTTCATGTACATAGCTTATATTCCCTACCTCTCACACGTGTTCATGTACATAGCTTATATTCCCTACATCTCACACGTGTTCATGTACATAGCTTATATTCCCTACATCACACTCATGTTCATGTACATAGCTTATATTCCCTACCTCTCACACGTGTTCATGTTCATTGCATATATTTTCTACATCTCACACATGTTCATGTACATAGCGTATATTACCTACATCACACACATGTTCATGTACACAGCGTATATTCCCTACATCACACACGTGTTCATGTATACATCTGATATTCTCTGCATCACAGACGTATTCATATACACAGTGTCTGCATACTTTCATCTCTACACGTCATATAAATATCTTAGGGGTGTTTAAAAAAATAATCTTCTAAATACACCTTTGTATGTAAATTCGACCGAAAGGCAGGACTGAGAAAGTCTGTTATTTATTAATGGGGAGGCACATACAATATTTACACATGACAACGGCACAATTACAGCAATGAAGTTGACGCTAACCCAAGAATTCAATACATGAACGGACTCGATCCATCTGTACGGGGGGATGGAATATATCTCAGCAATACATTATCAATCCTCGTTATGGAGTGGTCAGCCTCACACAATCCACGTATCTGTAGTTCCAAGCTGAAATGGAAAATATTCTCCTTCTCCTCCATTAGAGCTCATCGTGTGAGATGTCCTTGGCGTTATCTTGAATGAAATGTTTCCTTGTCACAGCCTTTCTGCTCCTCAATTTCGTCCCGGCTCTGAGTTCTGCTTCAGTCTTCATCCTCATCTCTTTATCCTCTTCAGCAAACCCTTCAGCATCTTGGATCATGTTCTCAATAATTCCAGGTGACATTTTATCTCCGTGGCGGTCCTGAATGACAATGCCATTCTTGTTTCCAGTTCCGATGTCCTCAGCAGTAACCGTCAGTATAACATTCACGTCTATCTCAAAGGTAACATTAATCTGAGGATCACCTCTCAGTGCCGGGGGAATTCCTGTGAGATCAAACTTCCCCAGGATATGGTTGTCCTTCGTCATGGCCCTCTCGCCTTCATAGACCAGGATCTCCATCACGTCCTGATCGTCCTCGGTTGTTGTGAACTGCTGAGTCCTCTTGGTAGGGATGGCTGTGTTCCGACTGATGATCTTGGTCATGACGCCTCCAATGGTCTCAATGCCGAGACTCAACTTACTGATTTCTAAAAGGTCAAAACATTCATCAATGGTGTCGTCATAGGCAGCAATCACTGCTCCCTCGAGGGCCGCCCCATAGGCTACAACCTCTTCTGGGTGAATGTCTTTGTTTGGTGCCTGGAATTCAAGATTTACAGCATTAGCCTCGTCCAAGGGGTCACACAGGCAATACACATGAATGATTATTTCCCATGTAGACCCGTGAAGATCCGGGGTAGAATAGGTCTTCAGCAACCCATGCTTGCCGTAAAAGGCGACTATGCTTGTCGTAAGAGGCTACTAAAGGGATCGGGTGGTCAGGCTCGCTGACTTGGTTAATGCATGTCATCGTATCCCAATTGCGTGGATCGATGCTCATGATGTCAATCACTGGATTGTCTGGTCCAGACCTGATTCTTTATAGACCGCCGTCATACAGCTGGAATATTACTGAGTGCGACGTTAAACAACAAACAAACAAACAAGCAAACAAATATATTTCCCATCTGCCAAGAACTGCAAAAAACGATACGACCTCTTTCGACCAATAAAATGAGGGATTAAATAAGGATTATTTTTTTAATCTGTCTTCCTGGAACACCTTGTTTCATGAGCATATTTATTAGTCGACTTTGAGACCGGCCATTTGATATTCTGGATCCGGAGGGAGCCTGGGATTTTATCGAAAAAATAAATTGCCACTGAAAATTCTTGAAAAACATATTCTTCAGACCTTTGAAAAACAAGACATTACCTGCCATAGTAGTTTCCCAGAGGCTTTGAAAGGTATCTCTTTACGTTTTTTAACGTAGCTGATATATGACTGGTTATTATAGCCTCGATATTATGAAATACTTGCCTTCCCACCAAAGAACTTCATGGCCAGTTGCCGAATCCTGGGAATCTTACTTGGTGCTCCGACCAAAACAATCTCACGGATGTCCGTCCTCTTGAATTCTTCATTATCCAGGATGGTTTGCATGGACTTCAAAGTTGATTCAAAAAGGGCCTGGAGTAATGAAAAGTACAGAAACTTATCCGTATATATGACCTAGCACCAGTGTAATATTCCCTATATATGACCTAGCGACAATGTAATAATCTCTATATATGACTTAGCACCAGTGTAATATTCCCTATATATGACCTAGCGACAATGTAATAATCTCTATATATGACCTAGCACCAGTGTAATAATCCCTATATATGACCTAGCACCAGTGTAATAATCCCTATATATATAACCAAGCACCCAGTGTAATAATCCCTAGTACCAAGCATTATTCTGTTTTTATATCAGCAAACTATTTAACGTACTATGTTAAGTGCCTCCAGCCTGGCTCTAGTGAGGACTTCAGAAAATGCATGGCCGCCCATGAGTGACTCGATCTCCACCCGGGTCTGATGCTGGGAGGACAGGGCTCTCTTCGCCTTCTCCACCTCACGACGCAGTTTCTGGATTGCCCCACTGTCCTCCCGTAGGTCCTGGCTCGTTCTCGTATTATATTGTTGGATGAAAAACTCTAGCAGCCTCTGGTTGATGTCTTGACCACCTGCAAGGTAATATATGGAAGACATGCATGTAATCACATATACAATATACGAGACTATGGTTTATATTAAAAAATGGTGTTATTTATGATGGAATAATTCAGACAACAGTTGATGTTTTTGAAGAATACATTTACAACGAATTAATGAGTTATACTTTGACGCCTCCATGGATTGTATGTTGTGGTGTGTCAGATTGATGTGTGAGAATGTCCGAAGTGATGCAGGTCTTAGACGTTTTCAACATTGGTGACACCAACGAGCATGGTAATGGTGGTTGCAAACCTAGACACATCATCAGGATGAATATAAGAATCCTACGATCACAGGTTACTGGCACGCCTAAAGGGCGCAACTCAGCGGAGTCACGTCATATATTCATGGTATCAGTAGACACGTGGTAGACAACGAAAGGTGAGATCAAGGTAAACAACTTCGGTATCTACATTATCCACGAGCCTACCTAGATGTGTGTCTCCATTGGTGGCCACCAACTCAATCACGCCGTCGTCGATGGTGAGTAACGATACGTCAAACGTCCCCCCTCCCAAGTCAAACACCACGACGTTCTTTTCTCCCTCTGACTTGTTAAGGCCGTACGCTATGGAGGCAGCAGATCTGAAATATACACATATCAATAATAGAACAATACGACGAAATGTGATTGCAAAACGTTCTGGCTTCCTACTGCAGCTTGGGTTGTATACTTCCCATCGAGCTGAGGATGCAATCTGAAAACTCCGCTGAGTGAGGTAATAGTCTAGCGTACCATGAGCATGCTTTCGGTCGAGAAAACGATGTTATCATCATCATTATTGTTCTTTTTATTGTTATCAAATTGGATGGTTTTGGAACAAAAATTCTGCCTTTTGTAATACAGAGTTGCGGTCAAGATCACAACAACCATCAAGATTCAGGAACAGATAACTTTTCAAAGGGAGACATATGGTGTCATATCAAGAGATAGATCAAATAAATGTGTGCATTTCCATATAACAGCACTTGTAACAACAGAGAAATAGATATACATTAGCGTTGTAGGGAATAGGCGATATCAAGATACTAACGGTTCATTGATTAGACGTAGAATGTTCAGCCCAGCGATGGTGCCGGCATCTTTGGTTGCCATCCTCTGGGCGTCATTGAAGTAGGCGGGGACGGTGACAACAGCATTGGTGACGTTCTGGGTCAGGTACGTTTCTGCTATCTCCTTCATCTTCGACAACACCATCGCCGAGAGCTCCTCAGGAGCGAATACCTTGTCCTCTGACCCAACTCTTACTTGGATGTGCGGCTTGTTGTCCGTGTTTATTACCTGGTGGATAAACATGTAGCCCTCAGACCAAATTAATCTGTGGATAAACATGTAGAGAGGGTCCTTAGACCCTACCTTTACCTGATGGCTAGTTTTATTACCTGATAAATAACACATTGGTACACACCTTGTCCTCTGACGCAACCTTAACCTGATGGCCTATTATTATTAACTGACAAATACACACATTGATACACACCTTGTTCTCTGACCCAACCTTATCCTGATGGCCTTGTTTATTTCCTGACAAATAAACACATTGATACACACCTTGTTCTCTGACCCAACCAAAATCTGACGGCCTTGTTTATTACCTGACAAATAAACACATTGATACACACCTTGTTCTCTGACTCAACCTTAACCTTATGGCCTATTATTATTACCTGACAAATAAACACATTGATACACACATTGATCCCTGACCCAACCAAAATCTGACGGCCTTGTTTATTACCTGACAAATAAACACATCGATGCACACCTTGTCCTCTGACCAAACCTTAACCCGATGGCCTTGTTTATATTAATTTGTGGATAAACATGTAGAGAAACACGTGGTCCTAGACCCTACCTATACCTGATGGCTAGGTATATTACCTGACAAATAAACACATTGATATACGCCTTGTTCTCTGACTCAACCTTAACCTGATGACCTTGTTTATTACCTGACAAAGAAATACATTGATACACACCTTTTTCTCTGACCCAACTTTAACCTGATGACCTTGTTTATTACCTGACAAAGAAATACATTGATACACACCTTTTTCTCTGACCCAACTATAACCTGATGACCTTGTTTATTACCTGACAAAGAAATACATTGATACACACCTTTTTCTCTGACCCAACTTTAACCTGATGACCTTGTTTATTACCTGACAAAGAAATACATTGATACACACCTTTTTCTCTGACCCAACTTTAACCTGATGCCCTTGTTTATTAACTGAAATAAACACACTGGACCCAATGTGTGGAATCAGTGTTATGTGAACTGAAGGACAACATATGCTGCTTGTGTTCTTGCTGCGCGTGTGACTCTCGTGCATGCATTGCATACAGCTGTGATACAGCTTGGATTGTGCTCATGACGTGCCATTTACTCGCATTTGACATCGGACAGATAAGTGAGTGAGTAGGTTTTGTACATTACGTCAGCTGGGTGTAGGATACCGAAGTGTTGCAGGTCTTCACGGCCTACCATTGTTTTCATGTGAAAGGAGCTGTACAACACATTTCTTCAGGACATCTAGTATGTCAATAATATATTTTTAAAGGGTAAAATCTGAGGATAGCTTTTTTCAAACTTTCTATTATGGAAAATTTGATTCAAATCTTTAAAGCAGTACCAGATGAATAAATAAACATAGTTACAAATTTAACCCGCCTTGAAAGGATATCGTTGTATGTCCCGCTGCACGGAAGGGTCATCCCAGGTGCGGCCAATCAGACGCTTGACGTCAAAGACGGTGTTCTCTGGGTTGGTGGTCAGTTGGTTCCTGGCTGCGTGTCCGATCAGGGTCTCCCCATCCGGAGTGAATGCCACATAGGAGGGGGTGATCCTGTTCCCCTGTTCATCGGGGATGATCTCAACCTGGTCATTCCGGAACACTCCAACACTGAAACATAAGACAACAGAACAAATTATTATTTTTTTTCGTCTAACAAGCAGATATGTAATATGATTTCAAAAGGAAACACAACTTTATATTCCGGATCCTTGGAAGCTTACAAACAACTGAGCGACTCACGAAGGCTGCCCTAAAATAATATTACTGCCTGAATCGGTTTGTGTGTGTGTTTGTTGTTCCAGCAACAGTGTATCGCGACCATATCGCTTCCGATTATAGATACGCATGCGTAGCGTCCATATTTACATAAACAGGATGTCATGTCTTCACCTCGAAAATCTGTATCTGAGCGATACAAATAATAACAAAACTCTCTTGAAGAGATCAATTTTACTTCACAAAACACTTCATGGACCGGGGACGAATGACTGATATCTTTAGTTTTGTTCAATCGCAGCCTATCTGGTCGTTTAATTGAACCTAGTTAAATGAAAGGCGTGCACAACATGTCCGCAGCAATTTAGTGAATCTAAGATGGCGGACTCCATACTTTTACTATAGAATATATCCGCGTTTGGGTGAGCACACGTGCTGTCAAGATCATTGAATTTGAGGAAACTTTCTATAAGGTGGGACATAGACAACTGACGGCCATAACAATAATTATCCATACACATATAGTTAACGTATCAAGTACACCATCTTGGATGGAACTACAGATAAGCGTTATTTAACAACCCCAAGGGAACATTTGGACAAATACGGGACCCAAAATAAAGAAGTTCAAATTTCACATACAATGAATGATCTCTAAAGCGCTCATAAAATATACACAGTAAAGCCCTGGCCTTGCTTAGATATTTCAACGCCGCACTCAGCAATATTCCAGCAATAAGATGGCGGTTTGTTGTTTGTTTGCTTGTTTGTTTGTTTATTTGTTTGTTTGTTTGTTGATTGACGCCGCACTCAGCAATAGTTCAGCTATATGAGGGCGGTCTGTAAATAATCGAGTCTGGACCAGATAATCCAGTGATTGACATTATGAGCATCGGTGTACGCAATTGGGACACGATGACATGTATCAACCTAGTCGGCGAGCCTGACCACCCGATCCCGTTAGTCGCCTCTTACGACAAGAATGGGTTGCTGAAGACCAATTCTAACCCGAAATCTTCACGGGACTGGCGGTTTGTAAATGATCGAGTTTGGACCAGACAATCCAGTGATTGATATGATGGACATCAATTTACGCAATTTTGATACAATGACATGCAATCAACAAAGTGACTTAACCTGCTCACATGATCCATTGAGTCGCCTTAGGCCAGGTTCACACAGTGTCGATTATGGCTCCCGTTTGAGAGAAGATAGCGCTACGACACGAAAATTGAAAAAGTCCTATCCTAAATGATCTGGAATGTCCTACCATTGTCTGAATGTAGTCGTATATGTTCGTAACAGAGTCCTACGGATCAGGAAAGGTCAAGAGAGGTAGGCAAAGCACTCCCGACAGCCGTTTTTGTCTGGTCGGATTACAGTCGTGACTATGTCGTGACAGATTCTGCTGTATCGGATCAAAATCAAACAATATCCTGTCCTGTGGATCGGGACGCTGTCGTGATAAACGGGCATGAATTCTTCATTGCCGTTTCTTGTCGACTGAGTCCAGATTGCGTCCAGATCTGGCCGAATGCGAACCGTCTTTGTCGGTCACTGTCTGATCTCTGTCGGATCGCATTCGGGAGAATCGGGACGCTGTCGGGACAGATTCGGGCGTTTTTTTACCACGCGGATGTTACAAATCGGATCAGATTCGGATTGAGAACGGGAGAATCGGGACGAATTCGGCTGGAAACGGCTGAATCGGGACGCTTCCTGAACACTATCTGATTGTTTGTGAATTTCCCGCCACAAATCACAGAATCGTGATCAGACTTTTGACAAGTTTAAATCGGGAATGGTCCTATCAAGGACGGCATTAAAAATCCTGAATGTGTGACTGAGATCTTAACGACAAGCGTAGGTTGCTGGGGAACTATATTCTTACCCCGCACACAAAGAAACCCGCCTTTCTGACAACTACTAGTACTGTTTGGAACACCAACATGTGTACGAACAGACATGATTCCATACTCGTGATTCGTTAACCCGGACATTCATACTCGGAATAAATAGTACAATCTGGATAAACGGGGTCTCACTAGGTAACTTCGCAGTTTAAACCATATGGATATGTACCAATAGACCCACCAGGAGTAGTCTGTTCCCAAATCTACTGCTATTACAGTGCGGGGCTTCTCGCTGTTGCCATTGGTGGGGGGTATTTTAGAGTTGGCATCTGCTTCCACATAAAAGCATGTTGCCCCTAACAACGGCACCACACACAATGCCACAACTCCTGTGCGCATGTCGCTGCTACCTCTGTGTATTCATGTATACAATGTATGATGGCTTTCGGTATTCTGCAAAACAAATCAATGCGGATGACAGTCGACATATAGGAGAGTGATGTCTAATTTTACCATAATAGGTCTTTGGTTGTAATTGGTTGTGTCCATCTGTAAATTAAATTGAGTCTGGACCAGACAAACCTGTTATTTATATTACGAGGAATGTCTCTCGTCAAAGAGAATCAATGACAGGCTATCAACCAATCATCTCATTTTTTCATTCTATCTTTACTCTCAATCAGACGAAAACGGCAGAAAATTCTTCAATCTAATTCGACTTTATATTTATGTAGTTTCAATGGTTCATGTCATTGGGGACAGTTAATAATTTTAAAAGGCGGGGGGGGGGGGGGGGGTCGAATCCCATAATCACCCGGATCCGACACAACAAGTTATGCGAAACATTTATACCATCTTCACATATTTCCCTCAGGCCAACAATATATTTCGTTTCGAGTACGATCCCAAATTTGCCTGCAAACTGCATGACCAATGAAATACTGAGTTAAATTTAGTACACATACCTGAGATGCAAATGAAATACAATAGAAGGTCGTCATTATACCATGCTTCGAGGTATTCGTCTCACCCGTGCTGTTTTCTCGACAGTTAAGATATTAAATCATAAACATAACGCCTTGATTCTTACAACTGCGTTCTCGGCTATGAATAGAGATTCACATGTAGACAGTTGTACATAACATCAGTACGACGAGTATGGATCCATACAACACGCCTCTAGTGGCGTGGCATACATCGACTGGCCAGCGCGCATGAAAGACGCTCTCTGATTGGCTAGCGATGGTCATGTGCTTCCTGAAAGGGAGGTACACGTAACCTCCTGTTCGTTCACTGTTTGTAAACAACATGTAGCAGTTGACGAAATTGTCGGCCTGGCTTATATCGTCAGGTCAGCAGTTCTCGAGAGACGTTTTTGACTCAAGGAGCGACAGTCGTATTTCTCATATTGCATTGAGAGAAATACGCCGTTGTGCCGCTTGAAAACCGTGAACAACGAGTTCCTTATGTTTGTTGTCGCTTCAAACAGTAGTTCAATTCTATCGCTGCGTGTCAGCTTGATATGGGAGGAAAGCCCAAATAGGTCTTAGACGTGAAAGAACGAACACGGACACGGTGCTGACAAACCCTTTTTCATAATAAGGTTGAATCTGGGATTCGAACCCACTATCGTTATGGCACGCCTACGGAACTCAACATGTGCCCCTAACTGGATATAGTATCACTCTAGGGCAACACGACTCATGGATGAAGTAGGACTAAAAGAATTCCAAGTTCACAACTACATTTGTTGACCAATTTACATTTGGAAACGTATGATGCACACCATTAAGATATTATATATGTACTTTCCAATGCTGGTTGACACAAGGGATATGATCAGAAGAATTATTTTTCATTTTTTAAAGAGTGGGGTCCAAAATATCGAAATCTTCTCTGAGATAATGCTACTGCCTACAACAAACTACATTTGGTTTGGGGGGGGGGGGGTCCCCGGACATTGAGTTTAGCAATATTCCAGCAATATCACTGTGGGGGACTCCAGAAATGGGCTTCGCGCATTGTAGCCATATGTCGAATCTTACCCGGGCCTTCGGCGTGACGGGCGTACGCTTTAACCACTAGACGACCCCACCGCCCCTGGTCCGGACACAGTCCTCTGTGCATTATGTATATGTACCCGTGAAGATCCGGGATAGAAGAGGTATTCAGCAACCCATGCTGGCCGTAAAAGGCGATTATGCTTGTCGTAAAAAGGCGATTAACGGGATCCGGTGGTCAGGCTCGCTGACTTGGTTGATGCATGTCATCGTATCCCAGTTGCGTGGGTCGATGCTCATGATATTAATCACTGGATTGGCTGGTCTAGAATCGATTATGTACAGACCGCCGTCATATAGCTGGAATATTGCCGAGGGCTGTGTTAAACATCAGATAAACAAGCAAACAAATCATTCATATGTTTGTCGGAAGAATCCACTAAGTGAATGACTGGTCATGCTCTGTAACTTCACTGATTGTGCTACCAACCACTGGTCGGCCTTGAGTCGATTATTTACAATAAGCCGCTGTTCAGGTGTACACTGTTGACTGCCCCTTTAAACAACTAAAATATATTCACTCACGCCATGACCATAAGGAACAACAGCCATGTAAACAGCGAAAACACTTTTTATTGACGACAAAACACTGACATTAAGAAAGTTGAAAACATTCAGATCGCATTCATTCCAGGCATACTCTAACGTGTGTATCTACATCTTTTCGCCACGCATGCTTCAGAATGGAATAAAATGGTTGGTGACTTATCAGAAACTTATCATAGAAAATATGAATATATGTTTGTAATTTGTCGTGCTTCGGTTATCTAATCCTCTGTGCTTACACTATCAGATATCCAGGAATATCCAGGACTTTTTTAGCAATTATACAGGTAAGTTTGTGATTCAGTTTACAATGAAAATACCTGACACACTTGTATATCCGTGACATATGAGTAAAGGAAAGGAAAACATATCATACCGCATCATTTAGATAAGGGAAACTAATTGCACCTCCACCACCTGACAGCATTCGTGAAAACTCGTGTCTTTCCGTAACCGGGAATGACACGAGTGGACCCGAATAACGCATGGTAGAAGGGAGATAACTCTAAGCACTTTGTTATAAGTCTTCATGTAGATGAGAAGACTCGTCTTCTTTCTTTCCATCCCCGGATGCAGTGTACAGTTTATTCATGATTGGCTTGACCACTTCTTCCAGTTCAGTCTTCTGTTTCTGATACTCTTCAACTGAAGCATCCTCGTGACTGTCCATCCATTTAATTGAATCGGCAACAACCTTCTCGATCGTCGATTTGTCTCCGGCGCTTAGTTTAGCTCCCAGTTTATTTTTGTCGTTTATTTGGTTTCGTAAAGAGTACACGTAAGTGTCCAGCTCATTTCTAGCATCAGTCTTCTCCTTCACTTTCTTGTCCTCCTCTGCAAACTCTTCAGCATCTTGGATCATTTTCTCCATTTCTGCTGGCGAGAGTCTGTTTTCGTCGTTCTGAATGACAATATTGTTCTTGTTTCCAGTTCCTATGTCCTCAGCAGTGACCGTCAGTATACCATTCACGTCTATCTCAAAGGTAACATCAATCTGCGGTTCCCCTCTCTCCGCCGGGGGGATTCCTTTGAGATCAAACTTTCCTAGGATGTGGTTGTCCTTCGTCATGGCCCTCTCGCCTTCATAGACAAGGACCTCCATCACGTCCTGATCGTCCTCGGTTGTTGTGAACTGCTGTGTCTTCTTGGTGGGGATGGCTGTGTTCCGACTGATGATCTTGGACATGACGCCTCCTATGGTCTCGATGCCGAGACTCATGGAATTAACGTCGAGAATAAGCACATCTGGAGTTTTGTTGTCTTCGTCGGAACCAAGCACTCCTCCCTGAACAGCAGCTCCGTAAGCTATGGCCTCGTCTGGGTTGATGCCTTTTGATGGTTCCTGGAATACAAGATTGTCAAGATGGTCAAAGGGTGTTTGTGTGGAACATTTAACTATTGCAGCATTTACTCCTTGATTGTTTGTTTGTTTGTTTGTTTGTTTGTTTGTTTGTTTGTTTGTTTGTTTATTTTGAGTAATATCTAATGTTCCACGGAAAGAAATACTTTGGCCTCAGTTTTTAAATTCGCTTTCTTCCTTTTTTCAGAGAAATATGTGAATACCTATCAGTGACAGAAACATAACCTGTCTGTGACAAACATCGTATAGGTCCCAGAGGTGCTCATGCTCTCCATGCTTGGGGTAAATGACGATTAAAGAGTCTATTTGATGACCATTCCTATGACGTATTATTGACACGTACCCTCCCACCAAAGAACTCCTTCACCAGCTGTTGAATCTTAGGAATCCTGGTGGAGCCGCCGACCAGAACAATGTCCTGGATGTCTGTCGTCTTCATGTTCCCATCCTCCAGGGCAGACTTTACGGGTTTCAGGGTCGATTTAAACAGATCCTGGCAAGGTTATAAACACACAACATTAACGTGCATCTACCTGTCAGCAAACACGGTGGTCTACGATTTATTTCCATTGATTATTAAAATACGTAATTGTAGACATATCTAAATGCATTAAATAACGTTGGGAAAGACTTGTTACTAAAACGATTAATTTGAAATGATAATTTATGATCACCAAAACGTTTCTGTAATTTGTGTGCTACTCGTCACACGCATATTTTGGGATCTCTTTGTGGAACATGAATCGTGCAATTTGCAATAGAAGGCCACATCGTGTTAATATCACTATGTGTGACCTTGCACCAGTGTAATAATCTCTATATATATGACCTAGCAGTGTAACAATCTCTATATATGACCTAGCACCAGTGTAATAATCCCTATATATGACCTAGCAGCAATGTAATAATCTATATATATGACCTGGCACCAGTGTGATAATCCCTATATATGACCTACCACCAATGTACCGAGCACCAAGTATCAAGCACCGTTCTGTTATTCTATTCGTAAAATGTGTGGTACGTACTAAGTTAAGTTCCTCAAGCTTGGCTCTTGTGAGGACTTCAGAGAAATCATGGCCGCCCATGAGTGACTCGATCTCAACCCGGGTCTGATGCTGGGAGGACAGAGCTCTCTTCGCCTTCTCCACCTCACGACGCAGTTTCTGTATGGCCCTGCTGTCCTCACGTAGATTTCGTTTGGTCTTCTTTTTGTATAACTTGATGAAAAACTCCATCACTCTCTGGTCAAAGTCCTCACCGCCTGGAGAATGTATGGAGGAGATGCTATGACATTGTGTGACATTCAGTGATTGGTGTAGCCTTATAAAGGGACAATGTTGTGCACCCACATTTATATTTGTATGAATAATAATAACCAGAGGAAATATATCATGCAAAAGTCGTTCATGTAAGTGCAGTACGAATGGTAAATAGATAAATAATCAAAATGTCATATCATCTTTGACATTTTCAACATGACAGGGATTTGTCAATATGCAGTATGAGACATTTTGTATCCAAGAAATTTACCAAGATGTGTGTCTCCATTGGTGGCCAACACCTCAAACACGCCGTGGTCGATGGTGAGGATTGACACGTCAAACGTTCCCCCTCCCAAGTCAAACACCAGAATGTTCTTTTCACCTTCTGACTTGTCAAGACCGTACGCAATAGAGGCAGCAGTTCTAAAACATACAGTGTTTGGTTACTACTACTCATCATCATCATCATCATCATCATCATCATCATCATCATCATCATCCGTGTACCGTCGAGAATCTATTGAGACAACTTTGTTCAACATTGATGTAAAAGCGTTTCACGTACGGTTCGTTGATCAGACGTAGAATGTTCAGCCCAGCGATGGTGCCGGCGTCTTTGGTTGCTCTCCTCTGGGCGTCGTTGAAGTAGGCGGGGACGGTGACGACAGCATGGGTGACATTCTTTCCAAGGTACGTTTCTGCTATCTCCTTCATCTTCGACAACACCATCGCCGAGATCTCCTCGGGAGAGAACACCTTGTCCCCTGACCCAACTTTCACCTTGACGTATGGCCTGTTGTTCTTGTTTATTACCTGGTGAATAAACACATAAATAAATAACTGTTTTACCTGGAAAATAACCTGTCAAACCAACAGATAAACTGCACACTACCTTCATAAACACTTAGATAAACTGTCTAATAACAAACTAATTACACCCGGAGGATAAACTTTGCGATGTCAACCATACACACTGCCTTGTAACATCCCGATAAACTACCTGATAACACCCTTATACAATCCGTAATACCAACCCTGAAAATACTGCGCTAATACCCGAATTAGCTGCCACTTAGAGCCCTGTTTAACAGGCCCCCAACTCTCTGATAAACAGGCCCATAACGCCGGGATATACTGTCCCATAACGGCCTGATCAACTGACTATAAGCGTCTGATAAACAGGCCCCCAACTCTCTGATAAACAGGCCCTTAACGCCGGGATATACTGTCCCATAACGGCCTGATCAACTGACTATAAGCGTCTGATAAACAGGCCCTCAACTCTCTGATAAACAGGCCCTTAACGCCGGGATATACTGTCCCATAACGGCCTGATCAACTGACTATAAGCGTCTGATAAACTGTCACACGACGCTCTGATGAACAGGCTCATGACGCCCTGATAAATTATGCCTCAACGCTCTGATACACTGCCCAATAACGCCCTGATATATTGTCCCACAACGCTCTGATATAATGCACACATAAGGACCTGATAAACACGCTCATAACACCCTGCTAAATTGTCTCACAACGAGGGAGGTTAACTTAGAAACGACTTTCATTAATTATGGCGTTATGAAATACCCAAACCAAAACGATGCTCCATTTTATTCCATTCGTGTGATGAAATAATTACCTTAAAAGGATAATATTGTATGTCATGCTGCACGGACTTGTCATTCCACGGACGGCCAATCAGACGTTTAACGTCAAAGATGGTGTTCTCTGGGTTGGTGGTCAGTTGGTTCTTAGCGGCGTCTCCGATCAGTCTCTCCCCTTCCGGAGTGAACGCTACATAGGAGGGGGTGATCCTGTTCCCCTGTTCATTGGGGATGATCTCTACATGTCCCTTCCGGTACACGCCCACACTGAAACACGACACATCAATGTTACTGAAATACAAACTGCAAACTTAGTATCACCCAAACATACTGCTACTTCTACTGCCAGTACAACTACTTCTACTTCGACGGCGACAGATACTTCTACTATTACTACTACTACTACCACTACTGCTACTACAACAACTACTACTACTACTACTACTACTACTACTACTAGTAGTAGTAGTACTAGTACTACTGCTGCTGCTGCTACTACTACTACCAATACTTCTATTAGTACTTCCTCATTTAATACTTCTACTACTACTACTACTACTGCTGCTACGACTTCTACTTCTACTATTACCACTACTACTACTACTACTATTACTACGACTTCTACTTCTACTATTACTACTACTACTATTACTACTATTACTACTACCATAATACTACTACTACTACCAATATTACTACTACTACTACTACCATACTACTACCATACTACTACTGCTGCTGCTGCTACGACTTCTACTTCTACTATTACAATTACTACGACTACTACTGCTATTATTACTACTACTACTACTACAACTACCATAATACAACTACCATACTACTACTACTACTACTACTACTACCCACAACTACTTCTACTACTGTCACAAGTACCACAACTAAATATTCTGCCTCAACTACTACTACTTTTTGTCTTAATCAAGCAAACACGCCGTGATAAATGAAAAGTTTAATTGTCTTCGACGCGGCGTTACACGATGATCGGTTTCAGCAACGCCGAAGGGACGTAACTCGCTGAACAGCGAATTGCTGCGCCTTAGTCAGCTGGGCCACCCGTACCCTCTTTTATCACGATAGGTGAGTGTTTGGGGTGGGTTTTACGCCGTTTTTAGCAATAATCTACCAATATCATGGCGGGTGACACTAGAAATGGGCTTCAAACATTGTACCCATATGGAAAAACGAACCCGGGCCTTCGGCGGGAAGAGCGAACGTTTTAACCACTAGGCTACCCCACCACCCTGAATCACGATAGGAATGACAAATGTAACATACTACGCATATACTGACCATGAGTAGGTTGTCCCCAGATCTATTCCGATCACAGTTCCGAAATCCTCAACTTTGGGCTCTGTGTCCTCAGCTTGCACGTGCCTGCATGTTACCACTAGCAACAGGATCACGCATGTTGGTATTGTCCTCATATTTCTGTATATAGTCATCTGTTGATACAATTTGATCAGTGCCGTGACTTTCACTGTGTACCAGTGTTTGATGTACGTGACGGCGTATCACTCTGCAATACTCCCACAGTATATCGCCCGTTAGTTGGGCTTGACACAGGGTATAAATCCGTTGCATGTGACGGCGAATCGCTCTGTTTTTAATGCACGTGGCACCGTGTTTCACCCTGTCGGTAGGCAGTATTTGCTTTTCTGTAAAAAAGAATCAAAGTGTTTGACTGACATGAGTACATTTCAAAACAAATAAAACTGATCAATGTAGAAAATACTATGACATAAATATTGCAACTACTTCAACTACTACTACTACTACTGCCGCTACTACTACTACTGATACTGCTGCTGCTGCTGCTGTTCCTGACGCTGTTCAGAGTTGCGTCCCTTAGGCAAGCCAGAATCCAATAAACGTGGGTCCTAATAAGTGACGCGACATTATTTTTGGTTGTTTGTCAGCACCATACATGATCGTGTGATTGCAACAAATGTGTAAATGTCTAATACCTGCATCCACATCGCCGTGATATAACTGAAATGCTGTTAAGAGCGGCGTTAAACCAAACTCACTCACTTACTGATATTATTGGACACCATTAATACTAGCAGTACTGTCACTTATATATTACTACCGCTATGCTATGCTATGCTATGTCTATTGCTACAACTAGTAATATTACTAATACTATTTTACCACTAATATTACTGCTGCTATTATCAGCTATGCATACTATTGCTACTACTAAAGTTACTTCTACTCTACTCCACGTCCACACCCTCTACCACAATTACGTCCCCCGCCCAAACAACACCCCATCTACTGCTAGATGTACATAGCGTTACGATTGTCATTTTGGGGTCATTCTCAAAATGCCCTTTCGCCATTATCAATAATTTATACTTAGGCATAAACAAATATCAATGTTTGGTGTCAAGGTTCTCATAAGATACTTTCACTTTTACAGAGCCCTTTCAAACCAATTCGCAATGGGTGACAAACAATTTACTTAAAATCGGATCTTATTTCTCAACACCGGTAGCGATAACTAAGATATGATTTTCATGAGATTGTGATAGATTATTTCAGTAACAATTATTCGTTCCGTTTCAGATACGATCCTTCTTATCAAACCTGTTGATTTGATTAACCAATGAAATACCGAGTTTTAAATAGCCCACCTGAGTTATGAATGAAAGGATAGTATTGTTACAGAAAAGGTTAAACATATCCAAGCTTCGAATTATTCGATCGTGCGGCATCAGCTGGGATGTTTCCTCGATAGTAAAGAGCTAATATTACAGGTGTAGTTTCAGGAATATAACCGCTATACATATACGGTGACATTTGGCGGCGTGGCCTTAATTGACTGGTTAGCGTAGTGCTGTAGACGTTGTTTAATTGGCTAGCGACAGTTGTACTGCGTATAGTATCTGAATGACACGTACTTCTTGGCGCCAACTGATGACAGCCTGGGGAAATAGCATGTCAACATGGTGCAATAACTCAAGGACATAGAGTAATGCTGCGTTCTGGTTTCATCATACTAACTGATATGAGTTGGCGATTCAGTTCTGCAGACGTATGCTTGAGACTTTGAGTATTTCCTCACATGTAATCATTATTTTTCATCTGGTATTTCAAATTCATTTCTTTGGATATTCAATAGGTCCAATCTATCGGGGTTTTATAGACTAATTATTTAGAATTACATTTTTCTTAACAAATCTACAGTTGCTATTGATATAATTTCTTACACAAATTACCCGTGAAGATCCGGGGTAGTATAGGTCTTCAGCAACCCATTCTTGCCGTAAAAGGCGACTATGCTTGTCGTAAGAGGCGACTAACGGGATCGGGTGGTCAGGCTCGCTTACTTGGTTGAAGCATGTCGATGCTCATGATATCAATCACTTGATTGTCTGGTCCTGACTCGATTATTTACAGACTGCCGTCATATAGCTGGAATATTGTTAAGAGGGGCGTAAAACAACAAACCAAACCAAAACCCCCAATGAACACAAATATTTATTATTTGGCACTGTTTGTGGCAATTATTTTCGATGAATGTTTGGTAGCGATATATCGCGGAATATATATTTACTTCTGATAAGCGAGAAGTAGCCCTATAGATGTACGTGTTGCATTATAGTAGAATACATGTGTGTGATACATGCATTTGATCGATAAATAAAGATCAGTATGGAAGTACAAGTAGGCAAGCTCAAAAGGTAAAAGGTGTACATACGCACAGTGTTAACGTCATCCTATTGTATAACTACATGCCTGTTTTGTGCACAAGCAACTCAAAAGTAAGCGGGTACTGGTGATTTATTTTGTAAATTTTACGCAGATACACAGCTTATCTGTACTGACTATATGCACAGGTTCAATTTGACATTATGTTATGTTATGTCAAATGTGTCATTTCTATTATAGACTACTGCTTGAAACAGTTGGTTTAAAATCTGTATTGTCAAAGCATCTATTAACTGCTCGTCATGTCTCAGAAATTAAGAATTGACAACATACTTGATTTTCTAAAACAAATCAAAGGCTGTGAGATCGCGCTAAACTTTCAAATTTAATCCTGTTTGGGCATCTTTTCCCCCATCGTGAACCGGTATTCATAACTGTTACAGTCACTTTGCATTTTAGGGGGCACGGGTGGGCCAGTCGTCTAAGGCGCCGCGATTCGCTGTGCAGAGTTCGGTCCCTTGGGCACGGCAGAAACCTATGATTGTGGGTTCGAATCCCGCTTCGCTCCGATTATGTTTCTAGGTTTGTCAGCACCATACCCGTGCTCGTGGTTTTCAACGAAGTGGTAAACGTCTGAGACCTGCATCACTTCGGGCTTTCCTCCCACATTAAGCTGACACGCCGTGATATAACTGTAAAACTGTTAAAAGCGGCGTTACTTTGCATTTTATACTCCTTCTTTATCCTAAGACAATGGAGATATCAAACTCTGGATTATTGAGGACGTCTCATGTTTATCCGCTTATCCGTAAACGCATACACGCCATGCTTTTCTTCTATATTCTTAAACAAGGGAGGTAGTTCAATGGTTATACAATGACTCTTACATAAGCAACATAGAATTATCTCCCGTGTTCATCATACCAACTTCTAAATACCACTTGAAGTGGTTCTTTATTCTGTTAGTAGCACGACATGCTTTCTGGGCTGCGTAGCTATATACGTTTCTCATGTCAATATTCTTAAGATAGAGGGGCGGTCGGGTAGCCTAATGGTTAAAGCGTTAGCTCGACACGCCGAAGACCCCGGTTCGATTCCCGACATGGGTACAATGTGTGAAGCCCATTTCTGGTGTCCCCCGCCGTGATATTGCTGGAATATTGCTAAAAGCGGTGAAAACCATACTCACTCACTCACTCACTCACTCACTCACTCACTCACTCACTTAAGATAGAACCAAACTATGTTCCGTATTTCATAAATTTGTCTTGTACATTTTACCGTGAACAGTTGGGCCAATTCTAAGCTGTGAAATTGGTCCGATGTCCTACATTCTTACGAAATAAACAACGTCTTACGATAACTCGATACAGTTTCAATGATCTTTGCTTTGAGTAAATGAGGCTTTACAGTGTGTGTGTTTACTATGCATTTATAAGCAGTTAAAGGACATTTAGTTGTTCCGAGAATATATAATACTTCTATTAATTGTTACATTATACTACAGAGACAGAAATCCACTGTTATTGTATTACGCAATGGACAATTTTGTATGTGCAATATGCATATGGTGTGTTAAAAAACCACCGAGGAAAAATACAGTACTAAATAGCTGCTAAAACATGATTATGACGAGGGGCTGGGACGGGTAACTTGGGTCCTCGGGTCGGGTGGGTCCTGAGTAGGACCCGGGTACCCGCAGTACTACCCGGACCCGTGGTTAGTCACGTGACATGTTGTTTAATGACAAAAACTAACAAGAGCTCAGTGGTTACACTACAAGTCGCTAATGTTCCTATATCTTTATGATGATGCACACATTACATTTGACTTGTATATGTTTTAGTAAAGATAAAGCTTCAGTCAACTTCAGTGTACGCATGATTTGATCGTTTCATAAGAGACCATATACATGTATCTATTACATGGTCTCTGGTTTCATACATGTATCTAAACAGTTTTGCCAGGGCTAGAGTTTAACTATTCCCAATTAGACATTGTGTTCCCAACCCTTGAGACCTACAGTGGGTACCCGGTAGGGTCGGGTAATAGGGAGTTGGGTACCCGGGTACTAAATTTGGACTCGTCCCAGCCCTAAAATTTAATACCAAACTGAAATTCCACGTTAACTCATCTTTAAACCATCATGGTAATGCTATCAAACTATGGAACTTTTGTTCTGCTAATTCCCCACATCCACATTTGATAAGAGATACAATATAAATGCTTTTAACAGTCGTCTTAGATTAAACAAATTTTCTGGACCCCAAATAACTGAATATTTCTGAACAGCTTTTAATTGGGTGGGAAAAAATGAAAGTTAAACGTTGATAACTCATAACGGTAAAATATAGTTAAATAATGTTATATTATTACGTACATGTGAATATTCAATATTTGTATGACACATACCTTTTAAACAGAGGGCTTATTCGTGTTCCCGCACGTGGAAGTGTACCGGCACGCTGTGAGACAGACGCGACACGCACCTGCTTATACGTGGCTGTTGTGCATTACACTTGCCGGTGGTATTTCTTCGACTAATATAGCAGTCGACACCATATGTCGCATTCAAATTACAACCTTTTGAGAATGAACTTACATAGAGCTCAATCTATACGACAGTGATCATATACATAAATTGAAATCGATGTGCGGGCCTCCAGCTGCGAATGCTACTGTTTATCAAGCAATAATGAACGTCGTTTCATCGACAGGAAATTGATTGTGAACGAAATAGGATACAGGTTTCGAGAAACTTGTAAATGATATTTCTGCATTAAACTATCACATGAAGAGTTAAGGTGTATAGGTGTTGAGTGTGTCGTTTGTCTCACAAGAGTATTCAAATATGCCGAGTGTATTATTTATCAGACATTCCTCATAATTAAAACTCCACCATCGTCTTCATCAATGGAGTCGGGGGAGCGAAAGTGATGGGGTTGGGTCAACGGCTGGCCTAGGGGTTTAATTTAAGGTAAGGCGTTAATCAGCAACGCAGGATCCATTGGTGCTGGATTCGAATCCCGCTTGTATCCCGTATACACGTATACTGATCTGACGGAACCATTGTCAGGCGCGAACCTAAATTGCCCCCTCCGTCATCGTCTTAGGGGAGAAACACGACGAGTGAATCGGGTTATGACGTATTTTAAAACACTTTGAATTTTCTTCACCAGAACGTCAGTTTAGTTATTTACTCAAATTCGTATCGACAATGTACGACTTGTACATGGGTGGCCAAGTAATCCAAGTCACCACAGTTTGCTGGGCAGAGTTGCCTCTCTAAGGCCTGCCAGAATCCAATGGTCTGACAAAACTTCAAAACCCGAACCCATCTGGAATTCGAAACCAAGAATCCTGGCATGACTGAGGGAGACAACTCCACACAGCTAACTGCACTAAACCTCAACGTATTCACATGCAGTCATAAAACAATTGTTTGTTCCACACAAAACTAACGTTCTTGACTTCCATCTATTAACCACGTTTTGTCTGTACAAGCCTGAAGATCCGGGGTAGAATAGGTCTTAAGCAACCCATGCTGGCTGTAAATGGTGACTACTTGTCGTACTTGTCATAAGTGGCGACAAACAGGATGGGGTGGCCAGACTCGCTGACTTATTTGATGCATGTCATCGATCCCTATTGTGTGGATCGATGCTCGTGATATCAATCACTGGGTTGTCTGGTCCAGACTCGATTGTTTTACAGACCAGAATACAAGTGTCTGTGTGGGGTATCTATGTTAAGCTGACGCATGGCATTTCCGGGTGCTGGCACTATAAAACCATCACACACAACACACACATGCATGTACGTCCATATATAATTGCAAAATTCTTGGCATGTGATGTAAATCCCCATTTCACCTCAGCTGTACCTGACCAAGGTATTTACTTGCACTGATCAAACAGTTTGTCTGTACCAGACTAAAACTCAACGTATTCACTTGCATCGATCAAACAGTTTGTCTGTACCAGACCAAAACTCAAGTTATCCACTTGCATCGATCAAACAGTTTGTCTGTACCAGACCAAAACTCAAGTTGTCTCGTGCATCAATCAAACAGTTTGTCTGTACCAGACCAAAACTCAAGTTATTCACTTTCATCAATCAAACAGTTTGTCTGTACCAGATCGAAAACTCAAGGTTATCACATGCATTATCAACCATGGTTCGTCTGTGCCAGACCAGAACTCAAGATATACACTTCCATTTCTCTTACAATATGAAACAAATCCAATGTCCAGTATCAGTTTATTGTTGTACAAGTATTCTCTGTCAACAAACATGACATATATATCACAGACTAGCAAGTTGAGTGGCTCTCCTAATAACAATATGTACCTAAAATGCGAGGCAAAAGAAAATATGTACCCACGTTTGATGGTGGCTAAAAATGGAAAGGTTATTTGGGCGTGATGTATTTAAAACAGGTACCATAGTTGTTTTGGATCTTAAGGTTGTAGTGATTCGGCATCTACTTTTTGGTCAAATCGAATATTCAAGTATATACTTTCTTTTGCCAGTTCATAAATTAAATCTGCCACCAACCATCTCTGTCATACAAAGCAGCAATATAACAACACAGATATGCTATCACTCAAACAATGACTATATAAATACCATCACAATTGTATTCAACTGCACTAGAAAGAGGGTGCCAATCCCTTCACCTCTGAATCCCGAATACTGCTCAACACAATCCTCAAAAGCACATGTCACATATCCCTCTCCAAAGGCTGAATGTCAATCACAGATGAGAAACTTATAAAACGCGTTCCTAGGTTATAACAGGGTGCGATTTGAAGTTAAGTTACTGAAAAAATATAGAAAAAAAAACATAAAAAGGAATTTTTTATGAACACCAATATTGTTTTTCAAATGTTGAATCTGCATACCAAATATGAGTTTATTCACATAGCTAAGTACTGAATACCCTCTAAATAGAAGCTGAATCTTGTGTACCAAAGGGGGTTGGCAGCCTCTAGACACATATGTTATGTTAACACAGATGAGATACACAGCCTGAGGACACATTCGCTACTCATGAGCAATAGATTTGACATCAAATATTTGACAAGTGGTGTGTGGAGTGAACTGGGTTTAGATGATATTAGAAATATACAGTACAGTACAACCTCATATACAACTTTCCACAATAAATTAATAAGATTTTAGTTCATTTTTTTAAATGTGATTCATGGGGTATTAGGTTTTATATATGTTATATTTTTATCCAAACTTAAAAATGAAAGTGTGCACAGGCACTGTCAACTTATGTGATTCTGTAGATACATCTGATCTTTACACAGACCCATTTCTGAAATGGTCTCAAATTTGTGGAATAGTTAGGCTGATTGTTGATTTTTGTCACACGTGGTCCTGTGTACAGCGCATAGGTCACAAATCAGGTGAGGTTAAGCAAAATTGGTAGCGGAGAGTAGTTGGATGGGTGACTCCAGACAGTTTCAAGGGCTTCGGTCCTGCCGTAATTGGGTACTTGGTAGGATGAGATGGTTATGTCATTTTTAACCTTCTATCTCCACACAGGCAGCTTGGGTTGTATACTCCCCAGGGAGCTGAGAATGATAATAGAGGGCACACGGATCCATTGACCAGGATAATATATTATATAGCACTTTGAGTGTGCTTTAGACCAAAGGTTTTCCCGATCAATCTAGTCAGAACTAACAGGGTTTCCTGATCAATCTGGTCAGAACTAACAGGGTTTCCTGATCAACCTGATCAAAACTAACAGAATTTCCTGATCAATACGGTCAGAACTAACAGGGTTTACTGATCAATCTGGTCAGAACTAACAGGGTTTCCTGATCAAAACTAACCGAATTTCCTGATCAATCTGGTCAGAACTAACAGGGTTTCCTGATCAATCTGATCAAAACTAACAGAATTTCCTGATCAATATGGTCAGAACAACCAGGGTTTCCTGATCAATATGGTCAGAACTAACAGGGTTTCCTGATCAATCTGGTCAGAACTAACAGGGTTTCCTGATCAATATGGTCAGAACTAACAGAATTTCCTGATCAATATGGTCAGAACTAACAGGGTTTCCAGATCAATGAGGTCAGAACTAACAGGGTTTCCTGATCAATCTGGTCAGAACTAACAGGGTTTCCAGATCAGACTGGTCAGAACTAACAGGGTTTCCAGATCAATGAGGTCAGAACTAACAGGGTTTCCAGATCAGACTGGTCAGAACTAACAGGGTTTCCTGATCAATCTGGTCAGAACTAACAGAGTTTCCAGATCAATGACAGGGTTTCCAGATCAGACTGGTCAGAACTAACAGGGTTTCACTGTATTAAGAATATGTTAATCAGACAAATTACAAATCCAAATCTTCCTAAATCTATTTTACCAAAATCTCCAAAACTGTGAGCACTGATGTGTCCAATGTATCCCCTCAAACAAAATTCAGTACTGGATACTGTACTGATTTTCGAAATGTTTCATTATAACCCATATGTCTCCATCAATCCTACTTACCACTAATAAAGATAGAAATAGCACTGTATTATTTAACAATCGATTGCACATTAGTGAATAAAGAATGCAGACATGTTTAACGAGAGCTGCAGTCATGTGTAACAAGACCTGCACTCATGTGTGGTATTAGAATGGATTATGCTTACAAAAAAATAATTGACTCTGTAACAATAATTTGCTAAACATTTTTTATATTTTTACGAGAACTGAATTTGAGGCAGTTTGGTTCATAATGCAACAACTATGCTTTTAGAGGTATATTTATGTGCTTACAAATGAATTTAATGTATGGTTTAATTATGGCCCAATAAATGCATGTTTGAAACTGACCGTTGTACATGTTTTTGATGTCATTAATTTCATTTGGGATGAGGGGGCATGGATGACCCAGTCGCCCAAGGCGCCGCGATTCGCTGTGCAGAGTTCGGTCCCTTGGGCACGCCAGAAACCTATGATTGTGGGTTCGAATCCCGTTTCGCTCCGATTATGTTTCTAGGTTTGTCAGCACCATACCCGTGCTAGTGGTAAACGTCTGAGACCTGCATCACTTCAGGCTTTCCTCCCACAATAAGATGACACGCCGTGATATAACTGGAATAATGTTAAAAGTGGCGTTTTAACCCAACTCACTCATTTGGGGTGAAAGCAATCTCATGAAAATGAGAGTCTTTACTGTGATACAATACCTCTAGGCTTAAACATCAACAGGAGTCTCTAAATTCTCGGGATGATTGAGTCAAACAATTAGACAAGCATATCTAGTGACACCAAATGTGGATTTCCTAACATTAACTACACCAGGTTTAGGTATAAGTTAGCGCCCTCCTCAAGGTCCATGATCACCTGCAGAGGGGGCACTGACCTATCTATTCAACATGGAAAATTGTGAACAGAGGCACGTTCCCCTCTCATCTGAATGAAATCATCCAACCCGGAATCTGCACGTGCAGGGTAGTCACGAATTTAACAACCCACCAAAATAATGGACATACCATATTCGCCGTAATAACGCCCAGGGCGCTCTCAAAATTAGAAATAGGGGGCTCTTATCTGAATATTATTTTGGTGAAAGATTGTAAATTTCATGGTTTATGCTGACAGCCTGAAATGTTTATATACGACAGATATATATTTCCAGAATTTAGTTGCCCATAATTAAGGGTGCATATAACACACGAGTGCGTATTATACACGAATAAATAAGTCTTGTGTACATTGATCAATCGGAAGGGGTGCTAATTGGGATTGTTTACTAGCCAACATATTAGCAAATATCGCCGGGGACGCTTATTACGTTGAATACGGTAAGCACCCTAGTGGTGGAATGTGTCATTAAAACCTTCAATCTAAGCTCCAAATACAGGATACCAAACAACATTTTCCATCCTCAGCATGGTGTGTTTCAGTGAAGTAGAAAAACTCATCCTTATCCTCATCCTATCTGTAAGTTACCATTAAGGTCCCACTGTAGGTTGGCCCACCTCACATATGTACTGTAAATCATGAAATTAATGTGACAATTGCATGTGCCTCTTTCTTGCATTAACTGACACATTTTATATAGAAGTGAGTGAGTGAGTTTGGTTTAACACTGCATTGAACATTACTTCAGTTAGGCCACACTTTTTTAATTTTATGTTTCACAGATTTATTCCAGCTTTTCCACACAAGGTTGGTCGACATAAAATGAAAGATATCATCAATTATTTATGCATTTGTATGAAAGTCATTCTGCTGTGGCCTCTTGAATCACTGATAGTGATGAGGACATGGAATTTATATACAACATTTTGTATTGTATAACAGGGTCTATATTACTAGCGGGAAACATAACATGTTGTGTTTAATTAATACCGTGGTAGCTTTTCTGTTGGGGCAGCGGGCTAGTGAAACGAAAAATAAAAAATAGTGTGGCCTTATGTCACTGCCTTCCATCTTGTTGTGGGATGTGGAAATCTCTGCTCTGACATCCACCTTGTGCAAATGGGCAATGATGGATCTGCTCACATTTAAGCTAGTTGATGGCACAGGCATCCTAATGGGATGCATTTAGTTCATGATTTTCAGTACTTTTCAAAACCTTATGTCAACCGCCTCAGTAAACCACCTCAACAACCTCCCATACATATAAGCCTCCTGTCAACCTTCTTTATATACCCCCTGATAACCTCCTCAATAAACCCTCTGACAGTCTCCTCTATAAGCCTGACAACCTCCTTTAAAAAACCCTCAATAAACCCCCTGACAACCTCATCCATAAACACTCCGACAACCTCCTCTTAAAGCCTCCTGACAACCTCCTCTATAAGTCTTCCGACAACCTCCTGAAATAGCCTCAAACTTAATCTCCCCATCCCCCTCTTTTTCAGCCTCCTGAACAAGCCCCCAGATACCCTTCATCCAAATAAATCAGATGTGCTCATTTTTGTAATTTTGAAGCCAGTTCATTAATGACTTTCCATGCTAACTTGACATCATCTGAGTTGGTTCGGGATGCACATATAGCGAATCTCAGGAAGTAGGTCTTTCTCATCTGGGATGGAACAAGATGAATCCGTCCATCATCGTTGATGGCTTTTAGCAACTTTTCATTGATGGCGTTCTCTCCCTGCAACAAAATAAAAACCATTAGCATGAGTGAGTAACTAGGGTTTAAGTATTCAAGACATATCAGGGTGGATTCAAGTTGCCCATGATCATAGGTTTGTGGCATGCCCAAGGGACGTAACTCTGCACAGCAAATTGCAGCATATAGATGACAGAGTTGTCCTCCCCAAACGCCTACATGCCAAAACACCTACAGCTTATTACAACAAAATTCACAGTTGAATGCACACCTAATCCCCTGCCTGTTACCTTTGTCATGTTAATGGAATAACCCCAAGAATATTTATATACATTTACACATTTACACCAAAAGGACAGATGGCCATGTTCTCCTTACGTTGAGTCTGAAGAAGACCAGTTCAGGGCTACAGCACAAGGACAGGTGGCCATGTTCTCCTTACCCTGAGTCGGAAGCAGACCAGTTTGGGGCCACAGCACAAGGACATGTGGCCATGTTCTCCTTACCTAGTGTCTGAAGCTGACCAGTTTGGGGCTACAGCACAAGGACAGGTGGCCATGTTCTCCTTACCTTGAGTCTGAAGAAGACCAGTTCAGGGCTACACCACAAGGATAGGTGGCCATGTTCTCCTTACCTTGAGTCGGAAGCAGACCAGTTTGGGGCTACAGCACAAGGACAGGTGGCCATGTTCTCCTTACCTTGAGTCTGAAGAAGACCAGTTCAGGGCTACACCACAAGGATAGGTGGCCATGTTCTCCTTACCTTGAGTCGGAAGCAGACCAGTTCAGGGCTACACCACAAGGATAGGTGGCCATGTTCTCCCTACCTTGAGTCAGAAGCTGACCAGTTCGGGGCTACAGCACAAGGACAGGTGGCCATGTTCTCCTTACCTTGAGTCGGAAGCAGACCAGTGCCAACACCACATCCTGGACAACCTCGAATCTGCTGTCTGCTTTCACAAATGACTCGAACTCATGGGCCAGCTGCACATCCTAGAAACACAAACAAACATCTGGTGTCTGCAGGTATTGTTTTCTAAGGGAGTTAAATACCACTGTCAACAGTGTTTCAGTGGGTGTAGTTTTTACGCCCCTTTTAGCAATATTCCAGCTGTATCATGATGGGGGACACTAAAAATAGGCTTCACACATTGTCCGATTGTGGGGAATCAAACCCCGGTCTTCTGCATGATGAGCGAAGGCTTTAACCACTAGGCCTACCTACTACCCCTCAACAGTGTTTCAGTTATATGTGGGACTAAATGTGAGAGGAAAGGCCAATGTGGCCTTGGTCTTAGGTGCTTCCCCTTTGTGACGCCCATAGCATCGGAATAGTGCTGACTCAGCAATAATCATCTGACACTCAAACCCATGTTTCAGTATTATCTGACTATTAAGTGGATGGGTATGGTTTTATGCCACTTTTAGCAATATTCCAGCCGTATCATGGTGGCGGACACCAGAAATGAGCTTCACACATTGTACCAATGTGGGGAATCAAACCCGGGTCTTCGGTGTGGAGCCAATCATTCAATCACTAGGCTACCCCACGTCCCTATCTGAACATAAACGCTGAACAAATACCCCTCAGGGCCCTGTTTCACAAAGCGACGATAGAGCTGTGGTATGTCAATGTTAAAGTAATGGCATTATGGTACTCGTTATGAGAAACAGGGCCTAGAAAGGCATCCACCTGGGTCTGACTATTCACAATGCAGGTGGGTGTACTCTGCTTCACACACCTTCCTGATGATCTCCTGAAGGCCCTTCACGCCGTACATCCGGAGAACAAACCACACCTTGAGAGAGCGGAACCTCCGACCCAAGGGGATATGCCAGTGCTGGAATAGAGATCACAAGTTCCAAATGTGTACAGTTTGAAGGTCAATTTTTAAGTTTATATGTATTCCTTACAGCTTGAATAGTCTTGTATCTTCCTGTATTTCAATCCCAGCCAACATCCTGGATATATATGGAATCTTGCTCCAGTTAAATCCATCCTTACGACCCTAATACTTACCCAGTAGTCTGGCATCTTCCCTGAACTCAATCCATCCCAGGACCTCTTATACTTACCTGGTAGTCTGGCATCTTCCCTGAACTCAGTCAACCCCAGGTACTCTAATACTTACCTGGGAGTCTGGCATCTTTCCTGAACTCAATCAACCCCAGGACCTCAAATACTTACCCAGTAGTCTGGCATCTTCCCTAAACTCTATCCACCCCAGGACCTCTAATACTTACCCAGGAGTCTGGCATCTTCCCTTAACTCAATCCACCCCAGGGCCTCGAATACTTACCTGGTAGTCTGGCATCTTTCCTGAGCTCAATCCATCCAATGACCTCCAATACTTACCCAGTAGTCTGGCATCTTCCCTTAACTCAATCCACCCCAAGACCTCTAATGCTTACCCGGTAGTCTGGCATCTTCCCTTAACTAAATCCATCCCATGACCTCTAATGCTCACCCGGTAGTCTGGCATCTTCCCCTGATTTTCATGTTTTAGATACAGAGGGTCAACATCAAACGCTTCACTGACCAATCGCTTATCCTTCATCCTGAAACATATGGAAGTGTATAGATATTAGTATTGAGAGTAGTGATCAGAAAGTGTAGGGTGGAGTGAGGGTGTGTAGGGTGGAGTGAGGGTGTGTAGGCTGGAGTGAGGGTGTGTAGGGTGGAGTGAGGGTGTGTAGGGTGAAGAGATGGTGTGTAGGGTGGAGAGATGGTGTGTAGGGTGGAGTGAGGGTGTGTATGGTGGAGTGAGGGTGTGTAGGGTGGAGTGAGGGTGTGTAGGGTGGAGTGAGGATGTGTAGGCTGGAGTGAGGGTGTGTAGGGTGGAGTGAGGGTGTGTAGGGTGAAGTGAGGGTGTGTAGGGTGGAGTGAGGGTGTGTAGGGTGAAGTGAGGGTGTGAGGGTGTGTAGGGTGAAGTGAGGGTGTGTAGGCTGGAGTGAGGGTGTGTAGGGTGGAGTGAGGATGTGTAGGGTGGAGTGAGGGTGTGTACAGTGGAGTGAGGGTGAGTAGGGAGTGAGGGTGTGAAGGGTGGAGTGAGGGTGTGTAGGGTGGAGTGAGGGTGTGTAGGCTGGAGTGAGGGTGTGTAGGGTGGAGTGAGGGTGTGTAGGGTGGAGTGAGGGTGTGTAGGGTGGAGTGAGGGTGTGTAGGGTGGAGTGAGGGTGTGTAGGGTAGAGTGAGGGTGTGTAGGGTGGAGTGAGGGTGTGTAGGGTGGAGTGAGGGTGTGTAGGGTGGAGTGAGGGTGTGTAGGGTGGAGTGAGGGTGTGTACAGTGGAGTGAGGGTGTGTAGGGTGGAGTGAGGGTGTGTAGGGTGAAGTGAGGGTGTGTAGGGTGGAGTAATGGTGTGTAGGGTGAGGTGAGGGTGTGTAGGGTGGAGTGAGGGTGTGTACGGTGGAGTGAGGGTGTGTACAGTAGAGTGAGGGTGAGTAGGGAGTGAGGGTGTGTAGGGTGGAGTGAGGGTGTGGGGTGAAGTGAGGGTGTGTAGGTTGGAGTGAGGGTGTGTAGGGTGGAGTGAGCACATGTACACCGCCAACTCGTTGTCACCAAATATCTTCCAAATCTTTTCATGTTTTTAATCAAGGTGCTCACCCATTTTTTGATGCACTTCGCGATATAAGACCTGTTTTATCACACTTTAAGACTTGATTATCGATCAGATCGTCTTGACTGGGCGCCGCCATTTTGTTTGATACAAATGCAAGTGATATGAGAGGTGGAATCTGATTGGTCCATAGGAGAGGCTCAGAAGGTCCATGACTCGTAATAACCACTGGTGGCGCTGCAATCGAGCCCAGGAATTACAGCCTAGTTCGGCAAGGGTGAAAACTGGACTTTTAAAGTCAGTTAACTCCCTTGCTTCGGGAAGATGTAGTCTACTATATACTCACCACATTGCTGAGCAGTCAAAGTTCACTTGCAACCACTTGTGAGCATTAAAGTTGAAAGACATGGCAAACTGAAATGGGCAGAAAAGAAAATTCTGATCAAGCAATTACTTTATATTATAAAGAAAGTCAAATTTTCACACAATTCCAGGTCTATGAAAGGATAAAAGCTCCTCTTAGCTAACTTCAAGAATTTTCCATCGTTGGTAGTTTTATACTTGAAATGTGGTATATATTACTCAGAAATTAGTCGTAACATGTAGATGTAATTGAAGGAATGAGTGAGTGAGTGAGTTGGGTTAACGCCATATTGAACACTATAATTCAAGTTATATCACAGCTTAATGTGGGAGGGAAGCCCGAAGTGATGCAGGTCTCGGACGAGCACAAGTATGGTGCTGACAAACCAAGAAACATAATCAAGGTGAACCGTGATCCGAACCCACAATCATAGGTTTCTTGCATGCCCAAAGGATGCAACTCCACACAGCAAATTATGGCGCGTTAGACGACTGGGCCTCCCGTGCCCCCTGTAATAGCATGAAGTATCTCAGTATCCTTATCAAAAGTTAAGCAGTATATTTTCAAAATCTGTATGTAGCCTGTTATAATGTACATATCTGTTCAGTGATTACCTCAATCCCATTCAACAGGGGTCGGAACTCGGGACAGATAAACGCACTTCCAGCATACGCTGCGTCAATGTGTAGCCAGATTCCATCTTGTTTACCTGCAGTAATAAGTCAATGTAAGAGAGCCTATCATAACTAGGAGTAACATACAAACAATAATACCGTAATTCCTCAAATAAACACTCGGGCGTAGATTTCTGTCAGAGACACTTTACTCGGCATTTAATTGCAAAGATAATAATGGGGAGCATTCCAGGCTTGAAACTACCCGGGTTTAATTGAGGTCCAGCAATTAATGGAGACTTTATTAGAGGGACCACGTTTAATTGAGACAAGACAGTATGATCAGTCAATACTATGACTGGACAACAAACGTTTAGTCATGGGGACAATCCAAAATGGGAGATAACTCCTTAAGTACTTACACAAAGGTCCAAGTTCAGGGATGTTGTCAAAAGCACATGAGGGGGTGGTTCCCAGAGTAGCACAGAGCTGCAGTAAAGAAGGATAACAATGTTAGTTATGCCCACGACTGCATGCTACTCTCCATGCAGGTTCTACTACACCAAACCAGACAGTCGTACAACAACCACTTTTTGTAGGGAGCCTTCAGTGCAGATTGAATCATCTGGCAGCTGTGATTGGATGATTTTGTGTAATATTTTTGTGCTTTTTAAATGTACATTCATCCAGGAATAAAAACTGACCATGTTTTTTTATATTTAGTGCTGTCTTTTGTAACATGATAACTTATGCTGAATGTGACCACACATAAAGTGACATTTGGTGCGTAACTGGTGTGTTTAGCTTCATGTACTTGGAAAAGGAGCTGGCTACCTAGTCAATTTTGGGTTTTTTACTGCTGCTTTAAGACCAATCTGTGCATACATGTACATATAATTGCTGTTGAATGGTTAGTTACTTTTACTAAAAATATAACGTTACTGCAGAAGCCTATGGGAAAACATTTGGTAGTGTGTAACCTATAATTGACAGGTCTGCATGTGAGCTGGCAGAGCAAAAATTGTCATATTGACTCTGTCAGAGTAGAATCAAGCCCTAAGTGATGCTGGTGTTACACATTTATCACTTGGGTGAAACCCATGAACACAGGTATTTTCCGATAAACCTGAAAACAATATCGGTGCAAATCTGGGATTCAAACCAGGATTAAAGGTTTCTGGCAACTTAGATGACTGGGCCATCCATGTCCCCTTAATTGTTATGAGTGAGTGAGTATGATTTAACACTGCTTTTAGCATATTCCAGCAATGTCATGGTGGGGGACACAAGAAACGGCTACAAACACTGTACCCATGTGGGGATTCGAACCCGGGTCTTCGGCATGACGAGCGAACACTTAAACCACTAAGCTATCCCACCTGAATTGTTAGAAAAGTTTGCACATGTGTTGTCATAAGTGACAATTAATTTGTTCTTTCAATCAGCAAGATTTAGACTTTCATTAGGCTTTTCATCAGGTTTTCTTTTTAATATTTGAATGCAAGCTGATATTCCTCAAGGGGAAAGGTCGCAGACTCTTGGTCACAGACTTGTTCATGATAAGATTCAATTAAAAAAAGTTTTCATTCCGTAAATTTCCCAATTTCAGGCCCCAGTAGGACTATACTCACAAAGAATGGGATGAGTCCCTTGGCCTTGTCCTCCCTGATGGCCGCTTCCAGTGTGTGACCCCGTAGAGACCCCTTGTCATCGGACTCCAGCTTCCGCATCGACACAGCTCCGATCAGACCCGCTCGCTCCACCGATGAGTGTGACTAAAATAAAAGTACTTGGTGTGAGTTAATGTTGTTTTATGCCACTGTCACAAATTTTCCAGTTCTATCACAGCGGCAAGTAAAATAATCAAGGCGGCAGTGGACCGAGCAAACCAGAGGTTAATATTATGATCGACATCCCAATGCATTGGGAAATGATGGCATGCAATGAACCAAATATCAAACATAACCAGTGGATGTATCTTGGTTGCCACTCTGGACAAGCACTGGCTACTGGGCATTAGCTGTACTTCAGAATCCACAGGGTGTTGGGGAAATCATATCAAATTCCATACACCACCATCCGGCATGGAGGGTTGGCTGACAGTTTTAAGATTTAAGATGTTATTTTTCGATCTTCAAGGAAGTTACTTATATATTTTGCCTGTGTGTGTGTTCCTTGTGTCTGTGTTCTTTGTATGTGTGTGTTCCTTATGTGTTTGTGTTCCTTATATGTGTGTTCCTTATGTGTGTGTGTTCCTTATGTGTGTATTCCTTATGTTTGTGTTCCTCATGTATCTGTGTTCCTTATGCATGTGTGTTCCTTATGTGTGTGTCTTCCTTATGTGTGTCTTCCTTATGTGTGTCTTCCTTATGTGTGTGTTCCTTATGTGTGTTTGTGTGTTCCTTATGTACGTGTGTTCCTTATGTGTGTGTGTTCCTTGTGTGTGTGTTCCTTATGTATGTGTGTTCCTTATGTGTGTGTGTTCCTTATGTGTGTGTGTTCCTTATGTGTGTTCCTTATGTGTGTGTGTTCCTTATGTGTGTTCCTTATGTGATTGTGTTCCTTATGTGTGTGTGTTCCTTATGTGTGTTCCTTATGTGTATGTGTTCCTTGTGTGTGTGTGTTCCTTATGTGTGTGTTTCTGTGTTCCTTATGTGTATGTGTTCCTTGTGTGTGTGTGTTCCTTATGTGTATGTGTTCCTTATGTGTGTGTGTTCCTTATGTGTGTGTTTGTGTGTTCCTTATGTGTATGTGTTCCTTGTGTGTGTGTGTTCCTTATGTGTCAGTGTGTTCCTTATGTGTATGTGTTCCTTGTGTGTGTGTGTTCCTTATGTGTCAGTGTTCCTTATGTGTGTTTGTGTGTTCCTTCTGTGTTTGTGTCCCTTATATGTGTGTTCCTTATGCGTGTGTGTGTGTTCCGTATGTGTGTGTGTGTTTCTTCCTTCTGTGTGTGTGTTCCTTATGTGTGTGTTCCTTATGCGTGTGTGTGTGTTCCTTATGTGTGTGTGTGTTTCTACCTTATGTGTGTGTGTTCCTTGTGTGTGTGTGTGTGTGTGTTCCTTATGTATGTGTTTTCCATATACGTGTGTTCCTTGTGTGTGTGTGTTCCTTGTGTGTCTGTGTGTTCCTTATGTGTGTGTGTGTGTTCCTTATGTGTATGTTTTCCTTGTGTGTTTGTGTTCCTTATGTGTGTGTTCCTTATGTGTGTGTGTTCCTTGTGTGTGTGTGTTCCTTATGTATGTGTTTTACATATGTGTGTGTTCCTTGTGTGTGTGTGTGTTCCTTGTGTGTCTGTGTGTTCCTTATGTGTGTGTGTGTTCCTTATGTGTGTGTGTGCCCCTTATGTGTGTGTTCCTTATGTGTGTGTGTTCCTTATGTGTATGTTTTCCTTGTGTGTTTGTGTTCCTTATGTGTGTGTTCCTTATGTGTGTGTGTTCCTTGTGTTTGTTTCTTCCTTATGTGTGTGTGTTCCTTATGTGTGTGTGTGTGTTCCTTGTGTGTGTGTGTGTGTGTGTGTGTGTGTGTGTGTGTGTGTGTGTGTGTGTGTGTGTGTGTGTGTTCCTTATGTGTGTTCCTTGTGTGTTTGTGTTCCTTATGTGTGTGTTCCTTATGTGTGTGTGTGTTTCTTCCTTATGTGTGTGTGTTCCTTATGTATGTGTTCCTTATGTGTGTGTGTTTATTATGTGTGTGTGTGTGTGTTCCTTATGTGTGTGTTCCTTGTGTGTTTGTGTTCCTTATGTATGTGTGTACCTTATGTGTGGGTGTTCCTTATATATGTGTGTTCCTTATGTGTGTATTCCTTATGTATGTTTCTTCCTTATGTGTGCGAGTATTCCTTATGTGTGTGTTCCTTATGTAAGTATGTGTTCCTTATGTGTGTGTGTGTTCCTTATGTCTGTTTGTCTGTGTCTGTTTCTTTATGTGAGTTTGGGATTCATCTCCGCTGGTCAGCACTTGGTCCACCTCACCTGGTCGGATGTGTAGGCGATGAGTTTGGACAGGATGCTCCCTGTTTCCAGCTGTGGGTTCTCCTTCTTCATGTTGTTGATAAACATGGTCCGTGCTGACAACAGGGCGACCAGTGTCGACTCGCTGGCTGTACCCTGTATTGAGCATATATATATATATATATAATTTAAAAATTATAAATTTAAAGTGAAAAAAATGATGGCAAATGAGATGTCTTATTACTTGTAAGTATTTGTCAGGATATTAGATAAAATCTTTCTTTAAATTTGCAGAATCTAATCCTCTACTCCTCATCTCACCTGCATGACTCCACCCCCAATTTTGTGTGCTTCTCTTGTTTGCTTCTACACCCCCATCCTCCCACACAGGCATCCCTCAACTTACCTGTATAACTCCACCTCCCTGTCCCCCAGAGCTGAAGAGGAACTCGTCAGGAAGGTGCAGCATCTTGGCCAGCCAGTCCATCATGACCACCTCAAGCTCCGTACAGGCGGGGCTGGATGCCTGGAGGGGAAGGGACAGCGTTAGTAGAACAGACAGCATGATGGGGCACAATAACACAAGGGGCTATCATTAGCAGGGGTAGTGTCAGTAACATCACACCCTCACAAGCACCTGCTGGCTAACAGGGAGGGAGCACAATAACACAAGGGCATCCATCAACAGGGATAGTGTCAATAACATCACACCCTCACAAGTACCTTGTAATACAGCAAAAGTAGAGATATTCTCCCCTTACTCTATTTCCATAACTAGTGAATGGAAGCGCTCATAATTAATTACCGTATCCGAGCGCCCCGCTCTAATAAGCGCCCACGGCGAGATTTGCTGATATATTGGCTAGTGAACAATCCCAATTAGCACCCCTTCCGACCCCTATTCGCATATAATACGCACCGCTTCCTTCCCCTATTCGCGTATAATACGCACTCGTGTGTTATATGCACCTTTTGTTATTGGCAATAATATTCTGGAAAAATATATCTGTCGTACATAAACATTTCAGGCAGCATAAACCACGAAATTTATCTTTCAACTAATATTCTAATAAGAGCCCCCTATTTCTAATTTTGAGAGCGCTCTGGCCGCTTATTACATCGAATACGGTATTTCATATTTCATGGCAACTATTATGAAAAGTTTAATTCAGTATGTCCATGTTGGGGATAAACCTGACTGGTTGTTTTGATATGTTTAGAGTGCATATTTTCTATATTTGAAAATTTGAGTATATCAACAAAGAAAAGATATATAGTTGTTTGGCTTAAGATATTGACAGAACTATGTTATATCCTAATTCAGCATTTTCATGATCCAGGTTAGAATAGGTCTTCAGCAACCCATACTTGTAGTAAAAGGCAACTGTGTGAGATGTGTGTGTTGTAGGAGGCAGCTAACATGGTCGGGTGGTCAGATCCGCTGACTTGGTTGATGCATGACATTGTGTCCCAATTGTATGGATTGATGCTCATGATATCAATCACTGGATTGTCTGGTCCAGAGTGCGGCATCAAACAACAAACAAAGAAACAAACATCATTTTCACCTCTTAGTGTAGTTGTCTCAGTAAAGAAAGATTTTTGTGAATATTTTATGTGCACTTCAGGTAATATTTTAATATACAAAAGCATCACATGATACATGTAGTTGAATGGAAGAAGGGAAATACACATTTATTCCTGTTTAATAACCCTGAGAGGGGAATAAGTTAGTTATAGCCACACTTTCCTTGGAATAATTGGCCAATAAATCACGATTTTTTATATGTGTACGTCTTCGGCATTATAATGCCTATTGTATTAATATATGACAGTTTGTAACGTCGTTTCAGAGCTACTCCTTGCTCCTTCATCAGGTTCATAACTGAGTAAGTACCGGTACATGATGGTATGTCATCTCTCATTAGGACCTGGGTCAGAATAGATGTCCAACACTCTTTCGCTTGTATCCCAAGAGGACTTGGGTCAGGATAAATCAAATGCTTGTTGTAAGATTTTATCAGGTGGCCCAACTCTGTGACTTGGTTGACGGTGTATAATGATACTAAGACTGGTTTGGTCATCATAATATCAACCACTGTTTACAGACAGGGGTGATATATAGATGATATCATATGAGAGTTCATGTCATACTATGTTTATGACATGAGCGTCTAAATTCCAGTATTTCCCCCAAAAGATGTCTACATACTTAGATGAATTTTAGCGTTTACCTCTGAGGAAAGTGGAACCACAATTTGTCGAATGAAGTCAACAATCTTCAGCTATGACATCATTTCTAGTGTGACATAAGATTTGACGTCAACAATGCAATCTGGATGACGTCAACAATACACTGTTGTCTCGTGACGTGATATGACCCTAGGGCACATATGATTTTTATGAACCCCAATATGTTTGCCCTTGTAGATAATGAAGTTGGAATACTGTTTTCTGTAGCATTGAAACAAAGAAATAATATATGAAAACTCACCCATGTGAATCCAATGCATCCAATAGCATCAGACAGCACGTCCCCCAGGATACCGGGGTAGGAGTTGGCTGTGGGGTAGTAGGCGTGGAACTGGGGGCTGTGCCAGTGGGTCACCTGGAAACAGGATACTCAGCAGCTGATACATGGTACAAATCAGTTTGCAAATCAGGAGTGTAGTGTAGACATTTACCACTGTAGTAAAACCCCCAAAAAGTGACTAAATTGGGCTAAATCGAGAATTTGAACTTCACCTGCAAACCTCAATCCTCTGCCCCCCCCCCCCGATGTATCTCAACTGTTTGCCTCCATCTGCTCCCCCACATACCCGCCCCCCTTCCCACAGATGTATCTCACCTGTATGCCTCTATCCCCTGACCCACCTTATATAATCCTTCCCCACAGATGTATCTCACCTGTATGCCTCCATCCCCTGCCCCCCTTCCTTCCCCACAGATGTATCTCACCTGTATGCTCCATCCCCTGCCCCCCCTTCCCGTCCCACAGATGTATCTCACCTGTATGCCTCCATCCCCTGCCCCACCTTCCCTCCCCATAGATGTATCTCCCCTGTATGCTCCATCCCCTGCCCCACCTTCCCTCCCCACAGATGTATCTCCCCTGTATGCTCCATCCCCTGCCCCACCTTCCCTCCCCACAGATGTATCTCACCTGTATGCCTCCAACCCCTGCCCCACCTTCCTTCCCCACAGATGTATCTCACCTGTATGCTCCATCCCCTGCCCCCCCTTCCCGTCCCACAGATGTATCTCACCTGTATGCCTCCATCCCCTGCCCCACCTTCCCTCCCCACAGATGTATCTCACCTGTATGCTCCATCCCCTGCCCCACCTTCCCTCCCCACAGATGTATCTCCCCTGTATGCCTCCATCCCCTGCCCCACCTCCCCTCCCCATAGATGTATCTCCCCTGTATGCCTCCATCCCCTGCCCCACCTTCCTTCCCCACAGATGTATCTCACCTGTATGCTCCATCCCCTGCCCCCCCTTCCCGTCCCACAGATGTATCTCACCTGTATGCCTCCATCCCCTGCCCCACCTTCCCTCCCCATAGATGTATCTCCCCTGTATGCTCCATCCCCTGCCCCACCTTCCCTCCCCACAGATGTATCTCACCTGTATGCTCCATCCCCTGCCCCACCTTCCCTCCCCATAGATGTATCTCACCTGTATGCTCCATCCCCTGCCCCCCCTTCCCGTCCCACAGATGTATCTCACCTGTATGCCTCCATCCCCTGCCCCACCTTCCCTCCCCACAGATGTATCTCACCTGTATGCTCCATCCCCTGCCCCACCTTCCCTCCCCACAGATGTATCTCACCTGTATGCCTCCAACCCCTGCCCCACCTTCCTTCCCCACAGATGTATCTCACCTGTATGCCTCCAACCCCTGCCCCACCTTCCTTCCCCACAGATGTATCTCACCTGTATGCCTCCATCCCCTGCTTCACCTTCCCTTCCCACAGATATATCTCACCTGTATGCCTCCATCCCCTGCTTCACCTTCCCTTCCCACAGATGTATCTCACCTGTATGCCTCCACCCCATGTCTCACCTTCCTGGCCCCCTTCCAACAGATGTATCTCACTTGTATGCCTCCAACCCCTGTCTCAACATTCCTCCCCACAGATGTATCTCACCTGTATGCTCCATCCCCTGCCCCCCCTTCCCGTCCCACAGATGTATCTCACCTGTATGCTCCATCCCCTGCCCCACCTTCCCTCCCCATAGATGTATCTCACCTGTATGCCTCCATCCCCTGCCCCCCCTTCCCGTCCCACAGATGTATCTCACCTGTATGCTCCATCCCCTGCCCCACCTTCCCTCCCCACAGATGTATCTCACCTGTATGCCTCCAACCCCTGCCCCACCTTCCTTCCCCACAGATGTATCTCACCTGTATGCCTCCATCCCCTGCTTCACCTTCCCTTCCCACAGATATATCTCACCTGTATGCCTCCATCCCCTGCTTCACCTTCCCTTCCCACAGATGTATCTCACCTGTATGCCTCCACCCCATGTCTCACCTTCCTGGCCCCCTTCCAACAGATGTATCTCACTTGTATGCCTCCAACCCCTGTCTCACCTTTCCTCCCCACAGATGTATCTCACCTGTATGCCTCCACCCCCTGCCTCACCTTCCCTCCCCACAGATGTATCTCACCTGTATGCCCCCATTTGCTTCCTCACCTTCCCGGCCCCCTTCCCACAGATTTATTTCACCTGTAGATATATTATTAGCTGTTTGCCTCTACACCATGCGCCCCACCACAAATTTATTGATGGAAATCACTGCATCACCGCTGTCAAATCCATCTCCCTGTTAGCAATAAATTGATTCAGCCGAGAATAATGATTCAATGAGTCAATGACACAGGATCCTTGATTCAAAGTCCCTCATCAAGCAACATCATTAAAACATATTTGACTAACATCATTGAACACAGATTTTCAACCAGAGAAAGCAAACATTAATTCAGTATGTGTAATGGATCAGTTAAGATATGGATCTTATTGTTTAGACATAGATAGAAATCAGTAATCCAACCAGCTTGTCTTGATTTCTCAACATTTTATTGTGCCATCAAGCAATAATTGTGTATTGATTTTCAATGTTTCTTTCTTTGTTGAGTTTCTTGTCAGGAACCAGATCAAAGACAATGGTTTAGTGGATAGATTGATTAGCCATGGCGCCAGGATGGCGGGAAGTATGGATCTGTGTGGAGAACAGAGACGTCCTATCATGTGGAAAAATTCTTCAAATGGAATTTTACACTAAGTGCTGTGGATTTTGGTGCTCGGTCAGAGAGTCAAACAAAAAACTTGTATTTCATTTCTTGTTTATTTGTTTGTTGTTTAACACTGACCTAAGCATTATTACAGCTATATTACGACAGTCTGTAAATAATCGAGTCTGGAGCAGACAATCTAATGATTGACTTCATGTTTCAAGTAAAATGGGCCCAGCAAAAATGTGTCTGTGCATAGGTTTTTGTCTTTTTAATTCCATATTTATTTTGATAATGTGTAATAGAGGTGAGATGTAAAGAATGGGTGATATTTGCAAATTTGTAAGTCAAAACAGCTGCAGCAACAAATACATGCATGTGATTCTTGACACAAGTAATGGGTAAGGTGAATAGGTAATCAAACCTTGGCCTCCTGCATGACAAGTCGATGCTTTAACCACTAGGTCGCCTCCCTCTTAATTCAAAGATAAATAAACACACCATCTTATCACGGATATACTTTGCTAATGGTTTACCTGAGTGGCCATTCCTGTCAAGTTAACTCATGTTAACAAATATCATGGGGTTGTAATACCTTTCCAAGAATGATAACCCTATGACTACTTCTATCCAGCCATGATGACCCAATGTCTACTCCTATCCTACTATGATAACCCAATGTCTACTCCTATCCTACCATAACCCAATGTCTACTCCTATCCTACTATGATAACCCAATGTTTACTCCTATCCTACCATAACCCAATGTCTACCCCTATCCTACTATGATAACCCAATGTCTACTCCTATCCTACCATAACCCAATGTCTACTCCTATCCTACGATGACCCAATGTCTACCCTATCCTACCATGAAAACCCAATGCCTACTCCTATCCTACCAAAACCCAATGCCTTCTCCTATCCTACCATGATAACCCACTGTATACTCCTATCCTACCATTGTAACACAATGTCTACTCCTACCCTACCATCATAACCCAATGTCTACTCCTATCCTGCCATGATAACTCAATGTCTACTCTTATCCTGCCATGATAACCCACTGTATACTCCTATCCTACCATCATAATCCAATGTCTACTCCTATCCTGCCATGATAACCCAATGTCTACTCCTATCCTGCCATTATAACCCAATGTCTACTCCTATCCTGCCATGATAACTCAATGTCTACTCCTATCCTGCCATTATAACCCAATGTCTACTCCTATCCTGCCATGATAACTCAATGTCTACTCCTATCCTACCATCATAATCCAATGTCTACTCCTATCCTGCCATTATAACCAAATGTCTACTCCTATCCTGCCATGATAACTCAATGTCTACTCCTATCCTACCATCATAATCCAATGTCTACTCCTATCCTGCCATGATAACCCAATGTCTACTCCTATCCTGCCATTATAACCCAATGTCTACTCCTATCCTGCCATTATAACCCAATGTCTACTCCTATCCTGCCATGATAACTCAATGTCTACTCCTATCCTGCCATGATAACCCAATGTCTAATCCTATCCTGCCATGATAACTCAATGTCTACTCCTATCCTACCATGATAACTCAATGTCTACTCCTATCCTGCCATTATAACCCAATGTCTTCTCCTATCCTGCCATGATAACTCAATGTCTACCCCTATCCTGCCATGATAACCCAATGTCTACTCCTATCCTGCCATGATAACCCAATGTATACATCTATCCTGCCATTGTAACAAAATGTCTCATATCCTGATATGAAAACCCAGTGTGTAAAACCCCTATGACATGATAACCCATTATAATACCTGGAAAGATAATCAAATATATATCTATCATGTCATGATTGTACATCTATCATGTCATGATAGCACTATATGACCCTTCTTTCCTGCCATGACAACTCAATGTATACATCTATCCTCCCATGATAACCCATTGTCCAACTTCCCGACATGATTACCCAATGCACACATCCTTCCTGACATGATCACCCAATGTCCACCACACCAAAAGTTCCATTATAACCCATTGTGCATCTTCCCGACATGATTACCCAATGCACACATCCATCCTGCCATGATCACCCAATGCCCACACCAATTCTGCCATGATCACCCAATGCACACATCCTTCCTGCCATGATAACCCATTGTGCACCTCCCCAACATGATAACCCAGCACATGCATCCTTCCTGGCATGATCACCCAGTGTCCACCACACTAATCCTTCCATGATAACCCATTGTGCATCTTCCCAACATGATTACCCAATACACACATCCTTCCCAACATGATTACCCAATACACACACCCATCCTACCATGATCACCCAATACACACACCCATCCTACCATGATCACCCAATACACACACCCATCCTACCACGATCACCCAATACACACATCCATCCTGCCATGATCACCCAATGCCCACACCAATTCTGCCATGATCACCCAATGCACACATCCTTCCTGCCATGATAACCCATTGTGCACCTTCTCAACATGATAACCCACCACACGCATCCTTCCTGACATGATCACCCATTGTCCACCACACCAATCCTTCCATCATAACGCATTGTCTATCTTCCCGACATGATAACCCAATGTCCACCACACCAATCCTCCCTTGATAACCCATTATGCACCTTACCGACATGACACCCCAACGTACAAACATAGCCTCGCATGATAACCCAAAACATATATCGCCAAAACCACACGCCCGGTGAATATAATACCGGTGAATATAATACCGTTACCCCAGATGAGACAGTCATGCATACATTCTGGTGCCTCTGCAGTCTGCCTCTCCATGTAGTCATAACATGAGAACCCACAACGCCAAGATGGACCACACGTGGTTACTTACCCCCGGCATAATAACGCGTTCGATGTCCTTGAACAGATCGTCCCATTTCTCTGGACCTTCCGGAGCCTCTTCTGGAACAAGTTCCCTCAGATAACCGGGGTTCACTTCCGGGAATGGGCGTCGCTTCCGGATTGTCTCCAAGTAGTCGGCAACATAGTCAATCATCTCACGACCTCGTTTTCGGAATTCTTCAGCGTCCATTTTCTGTCGGGGGTAAACTCTGTCGGAGGTATACGCTGTAGAGTGATCAATACAAAGATGAAGAAACATGTTATATCACGATATTCGCCAGTAAATCATGCAAACACAGCCCCGTTAAGTGCATCTTTTTCTGTATTCAAAATGAAAGTGTTATTTATTGTGAAATGGATAAATTAACGCGACAAAGCCAGCTGTTTCCTTGTACTTTACGTACGTTTTTCTTAAACAATTCGGATAATTGGATCACATTCCAAATCGTATTACATATGACACGCCTGACGTGTGTACTATAAATTGGTTGGTTGGTTGGTTGGTTTGTTGTTTAACGCCGCACTAAGCAATATTCCAGCTATATGACGGCGGTCTGTAAATAATCGAGTATGGACCAGACAATCCAGTGATTGATATCATGAACATTGATCCACGTAATTGGAATCGACGACATGCATCAACCAAGTCAGCGAGCCTGACCACCTGATCCCGTTAGTCGCCTTTTACGACAAGCATAGTCACCTTTTACGACAAGCATGGGTTGCTGAAGACCTATTCTACCCCGGAATCTTCACGGGTCTAAAAATAAGTAATGTTTCTGTTGCGCTATTGCGTTAGGATTCTTAGATACTGGGTTCTGCCGGATTTTGACCCATGGGCTGTCAGCAGCACACACCAGTGATCGCAGCTTCACAAAAATGGCAATTATTTACCCCGAAAGCCCAGGTTAGAATAGACTCCAAGCAACATATGCTGTCGCAAGAGGTGACAATCTCCGTTTGCTTGTTGTTTAAAGCCGCACTCAGCAATATTCCAGCTGTGTGACAACGTATCCCAATTGCATGGATCGATGCTCAAGATGTCAATCACTGGATTTCGTGGTCCAGACTCGAATATTTACAGACCGCCGTCATGCATATTGCTGAGTGCGGCGTAAACCAACAAACAAACCAAACAAAATCTTTTCGGTGGGCCAAACATGAGTGATCCAACTCGGTTATTGGACTCAGTGCATACCGTCGTGCTCCGCTGACGTGACGTGGACCGTTGCTAATGATTTCAGTCACCGGCTTGCTTAAATTATTGATCATATACCTACGATTCATGCTCAAAAGAAGCACATGCTCATGAAATAACCGGAATCGTACATTGGACCCTGCTTTCAGCAGAGATTACTTATAGTTAAAATAATAGGGTTGTTGTTTGAATTGACAGTGGCGTCAAACAACACTCATTCGCAACAAAGATGTAAAAAAAGGACTATACAGATCATTTGTATTTTATTTATTACAGTTCGTATGTATCCTGATGATAACCACTTGTGTTGCAATACCCTACACATACATACTGGCCACCTTCATATAACCGGAACATTTCCGTCAATTGCATTAAACTACATTCACTCACTCCTATGTAAGTTTGAGAACCGCCTCCGTGGTCTCGTGGTAGTGCGTTCCCCCCGGAGATCGGGGAGTCCGGGGTTCGATCCCCGGCCGCGTCATACCAAAAGACGTTAACAGATGGTACTTATTGTTACCCTGCCTGGCGCTCGGCATTAAGGGGCTTCACACACACACACACACACACACACACACACACACACACACACACACACAATAATGTGCAATAATCTAGCTAAAGCTAGCTTTTCGTATTTTGTGCACAACCCAACACTCAATTCTTCTATATGGCGTGCTGGTATCAACGAGCAATGTCTCGGATAATAGACTGGCAATGTTTGTTTGTTTGTTGTTTGTAGCCGCACAAATTCCAGCTATATCCCCAAATCCATAAATATTCATCTTCAAGCTTGTTATTCATGATTTCATCCTCAAAATATTAGCATTCAAAATATTATTCACATCATCATGGTTACAATGATGTCTTTAGTATGCCTATTTATATAATCTTCTGAATCCTTAATGTGGTCAGTATCAACAGGAATATCAGGTAAATTCAGAACCCGTTCGAAATATTCAATCCACTTTACATTGGATAAACCGAGAGGTATCTACTCTTGCTGATGATTGGATTATTATTATTCACCCTGCCAAAATGTTTTACTATCGGTATTGTTATTTACCAGACTGCTAATGCTGTCTTCTTCGTATATGCAGTTCTCTTACGTACATGTCCTTGAGATAGGGATACTCATGCAGATTATTCATATTTCCTATATGAACTTATCGAGCATATTAACTTGATCTCTTCTCAAATTGAAACATTCTTCATCATACCATCTTTCAATAGTATACCTTATATTCTTGTTTACTTTTTAATAATTTAATGTTCCTTGTGTTCATTGAAATTCCTGCATTCTGATTAGCTGAACTGGTCACGTGCTATTGCATTCGTTTCCCTATGAATGTAAAAAATTAAGCCACGCCCACCGAGGCGGACTACTTTTATTACTACGGATTGTCGGGGAATCCCAATATTACAGTCGAGGAAATTCTCTTTCTGCTCACATGTATCGTTATACACAGGACATTTAGCGAAATTCATGCATATTCATTGTCCAAACAACCCTTTGAGGCCGAAGACCGAGAAGGAATAAGACAGCAAACCTGCAAGCTCGCTCGCCGGTTTTTTTACCGTTCGCCTCGGTTCCACAACTTTCATGTCTTCGGATTTCTTTTCTAACTAGCATGTTTCCAACTGTGTCTTCTTGTTCTCAGGGAACTAATGTTTGAATCTGGCGGTAACTGATCATGTCATTTGAAACAGCCACCTTCTCCCGGACATATTTGGTCCTATGAACATTGTTTTGATTTTACTCTCCGTTGATTTGCAACTGACTTTGTAGGCGTGTCAAATTATGTGCATATATTAAACAATCACCTGATTCATGTCGCGCCACAGCATGTATTCCTACACCTGGAATGTTTATCAATCTCGTCATTTTTGTCTGCTTTAATATATAGAACTGTTTTTGGTTTAACTAATGTAGATAAAACACGTTTTCGTTGTTTAATTTAATTATAAGCACTGACTGTGTATTTCTTTCGGTTCATTGAGGTATGAATCGATGGAAATTAATGGACTTATATATATTCTTACCGACCATTAAAACAATTTTCCATAACCCGAAACACAACGCTTTTAGGTAAGAACACATTCAACACGTGCGGCAATATTTTGGTTGGCAGTGGTATTCAATACAAGTGTCATAAGTTTCAGTTTCAATACATTTGCGGCAGAGAACGACCTATGTTATCCATGTATACCTGTGAATGCGTCTGCCAAGAGAGCGGAAGATCGGTGGTTTAACACAAGTTAAAAGATGGTACCTGTTGTTATCCTGCCTTGGCGCTCGGCTCGGCGTATATACTGTGCTTGAGCGGGGAATTGATGTCAAAACTGCGGCATGATATCTCAGTGGGCTGGCACTATGAAAAACGACATTAGTCCTGACTAGTACAAGCAGGCACACCTCACCTCTTCCCACGTTAAACTGGCACGTGATAATAATGAAGAATTACCGTTTACATCGTCTTTAATCCAATTGAGTCACTAAACCCCCACAGTACATCATACGAGGTCACGAATGTTCGCGTTCACACACACACGCACTCACAACGCACTCTCTCACACACACACACACACACACACACACACACACACACACACACACACACACACACACACACACCCGATCCATTCTACGACGAGCATTGGTTCCTGGAGATCAGTTCTTATCCTAAATTCTGCCGGGGCAACAATCATGAATTGTTGTGATTACAATTAAAATACAGTATCACGTTGTCGACTTATGAATACGATTTTTAGTTCTTAACCTCTGTTACACCTCTGCCTGTGTTGTAGAAAGTGTTATTCACATCGCATTCCTTCTAAAACAAACCGACCACACATTGGTCGCGTTAAACCAAACTATGAAATCCAAAACTCCCATTGACGAATAACACAGACTCACTTTGGCATTATCCCAATGTTGCTGTTGCTAAGGACTATAACCATTATTGCAAAAATATTCACAAACGACACAATACCACTCACCTCAAAACACGGTAATCCAAAAACGCTACTCCACGCAATACAAGCGAAACACGCTCCGTCCACGACAACCCTCGATCTCTGATAGTGACGACCAATCTGCAACTCCTACACAAAATCGACTCCCATTCACTGAAAGATGGAGATATCCAAATCTGTCTCCTCGCGTCCCCAGGCCCGAACAATGAATCTCGCTATTGATCCTAATGAATATTTCATGCTCGCGCCCTCCTTAAGTACAATCGCATTTCGTTAGTTCCCCCTCAAATTCCATGTTTTATATTGACCAACGTTCTCGGGTGGTAATAAGCCACAAATACATTAATTGATGTACAACTGTAAACTCGATAATGAAAATGGTGCCCCGGGGTTGCATCAATGAATGTTATTATCACATCTGATATGCTGTTGCTGCTGTCGTGGTTGGGAAGCTGGTGGTAACATCGACACTTCGTAGGGGTAATGTTCTGTTAACTAGTCGAACAAATAGCACCCTAGTTTAATTAATCTCAGCGTAATTGTTCTTGGCCACTGCGCTAATTATCGGATTTAGCATCTCTGTGGTGACACTGTGACATTTTATTGATCTAGTTGACTTTCTCTGTTAATCACAATAGGCGTTAATAAGGCGTCTGTCTCTTTGATATACCCATCGATAATCCGCATGCTGTGATTCGCGTGTGCATCTTTAATGTGTCGACTATAGTATGTATGATTGTTTGTTATGTAACGCCGCACTCAGCAATATTCGAGCTACATGACGGTCGTCTATACATTATCGAGTCAGGACCAGACAATCCAGTGATTGACATCATGAACATCGATCCACGCAATTGGGATACGATGACATGCATCAAACACGAACCCGTTAAGTCGCCTCCTACAGCATAATATGAAATAACCCTGGACATTGACATGATATACATATATACATATATACATCAATACAAATTCTTTTAATTCAATCTTTAATTTCTTCAATTCATTCCGATCTGTACCCAGTTAGATGTGAGGCGGCATCAAAGTACTGTACAGCACATTTCTCCCCAGCAAGAAATTGTCAATGGTATGGTCAAGAGCACGTTTAAGTTGTCGGTGTTTACTTTTCTTTGCGTACCACCTGTTTAGAGCTGGAGAACGTTAATTTCAACGAAAGAATGTTCTGTCTTTATAAAGTCTAGAACCTTGAAGAGGATATTTTGTAAACTACTTCCTTAGAGTCAACGATTATGATAGAGAAGAACGGGGTTGACTCCCACTGGGTTACTGGTAAGGTGTTACGTCAACTCTCATCGAAAGTTTCCACGATGACGCATCGACAGAAATGTGCTTCACTAACTTCTGTTTATTGTATTGTACAAATGATTGTTATCATCGATGGTATTCATTTTCATTATTAAAACCTCACAACTAGTTATTCATGTCGCCTGTATGTATAAAATCGAGTTTCTTTTTTAAAGATGCTCTTATCAATATTCCTGCTATATGACGGCGGTATGTACATAATTGTTCTGGACCAGACAATCCAGTGACTGCCAGCATACGCATCGATCGACGCACTTCGGATACGATGACATGCATCAACAATGTCACCGAGTCTGATCACCCGATACCGTTAGTCGCCTCTTACGGCAAGCATCGGTTGCTGAAGACCAATTACAACCCGGATCTCCACGAGGATACCATCAAGTGAGTGATTTGGTTTAACGCTGCTCTGAACATCATTCCACTCATGTCAAGGAGTGTCAGCTTAATGTGGGAGTAAAGCTCAATGTGAGGCAGGTCTCAATCGTTTTCCACATTGGCGAAACCCTCCAGCACGGGCATGGTGGTTTGTTTTGTTTGTTTGTTTGTTTGCTTGTTGTCTAACGCCGCACTCGGCAATATTCCTGCTATATGACAGCGATCTGGACTAGACAATCCTGTGATTGACATCATGAGCATCGATCCACGCAATTGGGATACGATGACATGCATCAACCAAGTCAGCGAGCCTGACCACCCGATCCGGTTAGTCGCCTTTTACGGCAACATAGTCGCCTTTTACGGCAAGCATGGTTCTACCCCGAATCGTCAGGGGTCGGGGCATGGTGGTAATAAACCAGGAAGTATAATAGTGTTGTATCTACGACCAGAGGATCGTGAAAGGCTAAAGTGAGTGACGTTGATCTAACGCCGTTTTGAACAGTATTTCAGTTATATCACGGCGTGTTGGCTTGATCTGGGAGTTTGAAGTGACGCAGGTCATAGGGCGTTTACCACTTTGGTTAAACCCACGAATACGAGTATGTTGTTGACAAACCAAAAATACCCCGAAGTGGTGCAGGTGTTAGACGTTTACCACTTTGGTGAACCAAGCGAGTAAAGGTTTGGTGTTCACAAAACAAGAAAGTCTATCATAGATTTCGGGTAACCTTGCACAAGGAATTCCAGCGTTTGGGCCACCTGTGCCCCCTGGAACGCTAAGGGAAGCAACTCGGCAAATCCACTTGCGGCGCTTTAGATCACACGACCACCCATGTCCCTATTATCCACGGATAAGCATCCGAGGCAGATGGCACAGGTGATATATATATATATATATATATATATATATATATATATATATATATATATATATATATATATATATATATATATATATATATGCACCTGCCTTGCACAGTTGCAGCTGAAATCGGTGGAATCGATTTTCTGCATCTATCCGACAAACGTGACGTGAATGTACAATAACAAATCAAGTGAAAGAAATACGCATTCACCTGAGATTTGTTTCATCAAACACATAAATCAATTTCCAATGGATCAGTTGCTATGGCAACTAATGGCAATATTTGATTTACAACAATATTCCATCTATAAAGACTTCCACGTCGATATCGCTGTATCGCTAGAATGATGTAACGAGCATCGAAGCTAAAAGGGTAGAACGCTAGAATAGCCTTGTTCAACATCACATAGATACGGAGTAGAGAGGTGTGCGGGTACCTGTTTCAACATCAAGCTGGGGAATTAATCAATATGATAAAATGGTTTATTGTTTTGCTAAAGTAGGTTTGTAGTGGACGTAAAGTGTCGGTGTGGTTTTACTCCCGCGGGAACCGTTTCTATGATTCGATGGAACTCTATTTGATTACGCCATGTTCTTGCATATGGTGCTGCACAGCAATGTTATAGTAATTGCTGTTGTGAATCAACCACAATCGATTGTTTCCATCAGAGTTTCACAACCAAACGATCTCTGTAAACCAAAGCTTAAAATGGAAATATGTTCATGTTAGCTCTTGAACTATAGTATATACAGAAAATAATAATATGGACATGTTACTAAGTTTGCTATTTGAGAATAGAAATACAGTTTGTAAATCCCAAAGTGATATGTAAATAATGCACAGCAATACGCCAGAGCGATTGTAAAACACAAGGGCATTACAGCACAACACATAGGGGTTTACAAAATAAACTGACGTCGCAAAAATGTATACACTTGAAAATGGATTTGACAAAAAATTACATTTTTACTGGGCTGAAAACAGTCGCCTGTTGTAATATTCTCATACATATGGTGACTGTAACATCGCCTATTGTACCTACATGTATATCAATTAATACGTCACCATCGAATAACCATTCTTGTTTGTTTGTTTACCCATCATCATTTGTTTTGCCCGTCTGTTTATATTTCTATTGTCAAATGGCAAGCTTTATTTATTGTGAACTATCCATAGAAATAAACTGAAATATGTTGATTAAGCAGAAATAAGTCTAACTGTGATGAGATGCAGCACAATGTGAATCGTTGCAATAAAAGTGCAACTATACATGTGCACACAGAATTGATTCATTGCGATACGACAGATGTTCCCGGGTGATTTGGAGTACGACTAAATTCCTTTAGCAGGGTCGTGTGAGTGGGTGATGTTTTACGCCGCATTTTTCAAGATTCCAGCAATATCACGGCAGGGGACATCAGAAATAGGCTTCACACATTGTACCCATGTGGTGAATCGAACCCGGGTATTCGGCGTGACGAGAAACGCTTTAACCACTAGGCTACCCACCATCTCTGTCGGATCGTGTGGGTAAACTTATTACACAATATGTTTCTTCTGTAATTTATTGAAATGCATGACACTGTGATTATAAAACGTTTTGTGTTATTATTTCTGTAGAATTGTGCAATTTATTTCTACGGATAAAAATATAAATGTGACTTTATTACACAGAAATACTCCAGTCGACGTTTGTGATATATTATATATGTAATTCTATTTCTGTAGTTCCTGTAATTGATTACAACTATTTGCATCTGATATTTCTCACTGTATCATATTACACGTGTTCGTCCATCGAAGGATAGAATATGTTATCTCTGCATGCATGAAGACGACTTCCTATGCCATACGATACGTTGTATTGATATTTCATGTTTGTGAATTGGGCAATTCATGATAATATAATCATATTTATTCATTGAATATTTGAGAGGGCAACACGGCCTGATGTCTACGTATCCATCTGAAGCAGATAAAGCTGAAGGGGATGAATGTTTATAGAGAGACAACGAAGGATAGGTTACCAGTGACCCTAGTTTGTCGTAAGAGACTGAATGGATCAAGCGGTCAGGTCCTGTGACGGTTGATAGCGCGTCATCTTACAATGATAACGTCATGTACTCATGATATCAATCACTGGTTTGTCAGGTCCAAACTAGACTATGTGTCTGGAATACTGATGATCAGATAGTGAAACACCAAATAACAGTGTGATACATATGCTTAGTCTAGATACTGTCGTTGTCGTGTATGCACATTAAGTGTTGTTCATGACCCAGTGCTATTATGCAAACTATATATAATTCCATTGTTGTTGTTGTTGTCAACCTTCACTCGATAATGTGTATCCATCTTGGGCCCTAATGCTTGTCTGCAACCATTGAGGGATTGCTTGGAAAAGTTGTCTGTAACAGGTTGCGTATTCTGTAAAAATGTGTTGAGGTATTTAACACAGCTAGACCTGTTTACGACTTAAACATGTTTTGACCTCTGGACGCGTAAACATTATGGGACAAGGAACGTGTTTAGCATCTCAACACATTTGTTTCAGTTTAAATGCAACATGTTGTTCTTGTGACTTTGCGGCGTCACGAATAAGGTTTTGAACGATCAGAAACTCAGATGTCGCAGATGTTTAGCAATGATCAACGGGTGACGTTAAAATGTAAGGAAGCATGGCGTTGGGATGACGTTAAAATGTCTGACAACATGTCGTTGTGATGACGTTAAAATGTATGGCAACATGGGGTTACGATGACGTTAAAATGTATGGCAACATGGCGTTGGGATGACGTTAAAATGTATGGCAACATGGCGTTGCGGTGACGTTAAAATGTATGGCAACATGGCGTTGTGGTGACGTTAAAATGTATGGCAACATGGCGTTGTGAACGTCGGACATTGCAGATGCCGATGCCATGGTTCCTCTCCAAGTCGTGGTACATATATTTCTTGCATGTGGCCAGGAAAATGTCACATCTGCACTTAAAGGGCCTGGATGCATTGACTGCAAATCTGGCTGGGATGAAAGGTTATATTATTCACATGGTTGTGAAAGCGTTCGCTCGTCATGCCGAAGGCCCAGGTTCGTTCCCTATATGCGTACACTGTTTAACGCCGTTATATTCCTGAAATATTGCTGAAAGCGCCCCATTACTCAATCACACGCTCACTTTCTAACAGCGATCTTTAATAGACTATTATTTGACACATTTCCTACCTTTTGCGATTTTCGCAATGCAAACTTGAGCAATGTCGGCATTGATGTGTTGCTAGTGAAGATAAACTAGCAAAAACATGAAAATACTCATATAAACCGACTTTGAAAAAGTGCCGTGTGCACCCTATGAGACCGACCTTTTGTTATTCTGTATTGTGAAAAAGATATAACTGTTTTCTTTTAGAGAAAAAAGTAAAAGATAACGAAAATAGATAATTTGAGGAAGTGACTGAAAACATCCTCTCCCCACCTCCCTTCCCCAGAAAATTCAATGCTCACTAATATTAACCACAAACTCACTAAGCGTTAATTGTATACCACAATCAACGTATAAAATTAACTGATACGGCGTAATGGCGATTTTCCCCCTCCTTTCTGTTTAACAGTACCATTGTATCACTGATGACTGAACTGATAGTCTTCGGCTTGAGACATTTCTTACAAGATCAGCTTGTCCCGAGCAGCTGCATCAGCAACCTCGAGTCGTGACTCTGACAAGCATCCATTCGTGCCGCGGCAAGCCGTTCATCCGGCCAGCGAGTCGCCCTCAAAAGCCATTCCCCCATCAAAGTCCCCCTTGCCCATTCCATGTAATGTCAACATTTGCGGCGCATATCGCCCATTGATCGGCAATATGTTTTCTGTCATTTGATTGGTCGAGGCTAATTGGCCCCAGATCGGCTATCTTTGTACTGGTATTGACTACATTCAAAATCAATGATGTTGTATTCAAAATTCAGCCCACTAATGACACTGTCAGGAAGTCCATTTCGGGCAAACGACGTGTGCAAATGTGGACGTCTCGTACATTAAGGCATCAGCCATGTCATGCACAGCGTGGCGAGACCGGACACGGTTCTTGCAGCGGGCTGAGGCAGACATGTTCGGGGCATAGATTCCTTCGTATAGAAAGTCGAACATTTCGTTCAGTTCTTCAGCATATCGTATCTAGTCAATAAATTATTCCAGACCCTCCTGTTTTGGACAGTTTCAGAAGGACCAGTATACGTGTTTCCTCATTTATCAGCTTTGGACAGTATTACAGTTATAAAACGGCGTGTCTGGTTGACGTGGGAGAAAAGCCCGGAGAAATTCAACAAGTGTTTTCATTTATCATTGGAACATGAGCAAGTTTTGGACGCAAGCTGCTAAGCTTTCTGTAAGCATTAAAGGCTACACAATATTGCACATTGAAACACTGCAGGGAGAATAAACAACGAGGGGTGCAGGGGCGCGATTGTCAACAACGATCACGAGTTGTTTATTTCTAATATGAGAAATCAATATTATTTACAGCCTCTCTAAGGATGATGATTTAATGTTCAAGCTTTAAAATAGTCCCCATATTTCAATAATGATGACTCCCTCAATAGAATCCGACCTCTGCAAACTCGGACAAGTCCATTTTATGCACAAGTGGATATTTCCGCATATTTTTACTCTTCACGTCGATTACCTGTATCTTTTGCGATTGTCATATCTCACCTACTTTTAAATGTGATCGTTCGGCCATAGTGTTTATCTGCGCTGCCAAGCAACATCTATGGCACTCCCCTCACACAAAGTTAACCTCGTCCAATATACGTCATCAATTTGTTGAATATCCAAGAATGACGTCAGAAGAATGATGGCAGCACAATGTTTTATCGTAAATGAACCACACTTCGTTCTTCATTGTACTTTGCGATCTATCCTCCAGGGTCGATTTAAACAGATCCTGGCAAGGTAATAAACACACAACATTAACGTGCATCTACCTGTCAGCAAACATGGTGGTCTAAGATTTATTTCCATTGATTATTAAAATACGTAATTGTTGTCATATCTAAATGCATTAAATAACGCTGGGAAAGACTTGTTGCTGAAACAGTTAGTTTGAAATGATAATTTATGATCACCAAAACGTTTCTGTATTTTTTGTGCTACTCGTCACACGCATATTTAGGGATCTCTTTGTGGAACATGAATCGGTCAACTTGCAATAGAAGGCCACATCGTGTTAATATCCCTATGTGTGACCTTGCACCAGTGTAATAATCTCTATATGTATGACCTAGCAGTGTAATTATCCCTATTTATGACCTAGCTAGCACCAGTGTTATAATCCCTATTTATGACATACCACCAGTGTAACAATCTCTATATATGACCTAGCACCAGTGTAATAATCCCTATATATGACCTAGCACCAGTGTAATAATCCCTATATATGACTAGCACCAGTGTAATAATCTCTATATATGACCCAGCAGCAATGTAATAATCTCTATATATGACCTAACACCAGTGTAATAATCCCTATTTATGACATACCACCATTGTAATAATCTCTATATATGACTAAGCACCAGTGTAATAATCCCTATTTGTGACATACCACCATTATAATAATCCCTATATATGACCTAGCTGCAGTGTAATATTCCCTATATATGACCTAGCCGTAGTGTAACAATCCCTATATATGACCTAGCAGCAGTGTAGTAATATTAGTTTTAGGACAAGTTTTAGGACACAAGTTTTAGGACACGTGAATAGATCTTTGGATATAAAGACTTTTGTTCAGCTGTTCGATGGGCAATACTGGCTTTAGTCACTTGATTGTCTGGTTTGTTTACAGGCCGCCGCCGTCGTATGGCAGAAATACTGCTTTGCGGCGTCAGACAACAAACACGTACCTTCTTATGCAAACTGTGTGACTGGCGGGTTCTACCGGTAGAGCAGGTCATGTTCACCCTTTTCGTGAAGACCTGGTGTTATCACTGATTTTGATAGGTCTATTTGTAGAATTGCTTTTCCTAGGCCCAATTGAATGTTTCGGCGGATACTCGTGGCGTTGACGTTCAATATTTACAGTACAGGAATCTGATTTTTGTTATTTTAATGATGACATTTCGCGTGTTTTTTAACTATTAAACAATCAACACGTCAGAACAGTAGTGTCTGTAGAAAGGGGTTAAATGGTTAAAACACAAATAGAGGATATTTGAGTTTTCTTGTAAAAAACCCATCTATTATTTATTTATCTCATCTAGTAACCCGGACAAACTTGATATTCTCATGAGGCGCAATCAGTAGTTAAAAATGTTAGCTTTGTCGGGTGACGAGATAAACAAATGTTCTATTCATTTTGCATTATATTACTCATTTTCATGATCATATTCCAAAAACCATAGTGTCTGGCATTAACTGTTATTTCACTCGAGCAAAGTATCAATTTTATTCCCTCACATAAATACAGTATGTCTAAAAACATAAATAAAAGTCAGTATTTAAATCAGATTCCCCTCGTCACAAGTACCATAGCTCTCTCCTCAGTTGATCTCAATCTTAATGTTACTGATATCCACCTCTCCCGCCTCCCCCGGGGAAGGGAGAGGGGGTATGTGATGAGGTGCAAACACAGAGTTGTGGAATGTACGAGGTCGTCTCCCCGGCATAATACGCCTCCTAATGTTCTTGAACCTCTCCGACAGTTTGATAAAGTGGGAGTTCCAGCCAGTGGTGGTTCCGTCTCTCATGTGCGGGTACTCACTCACCAACCTCTCCACAACCTCCTCCCGCTGTTTCACACTCGGGAGGATCGTATACGGCTGGATCCCGTCAGACAAACACCGAATCAGCAGGTTCATTTTTGGTCCGTCTAGAGATTGCTTTGATTCCAGAGCGTTAAGGAGAATGGGAGGAAATAGCTTCTTTGGTAGTGTGTACGGATGAGGCCAGCTTAAAGGATTATTTCCGAAGCTATTTTCAAACTGGGATATAATCTCTTCTCGTCTAGGGTTGGCGTTAAAAGCGTCGTTTATGGGAAGTCTGTTTTGCACTATGGAATGGAAGTAGGATTGGTGTAGTGTGTTCTCCGCCGGATGTGCTGGGTCGTTGTCTTGGCTGTTGTCGTCATTCTGTGATGTGTGGTTGGGGGAGGAGTTCTCGTAAACCTGAATGTCCAGTGATTCATCGTTCAAAGTGTCATTTTTGGCAAATCCAGTGACAAACCTGTCACCAACAGCGCCAGGAAATTCAGACTGCCTTTCTTCACTCCGTTTCCGCTTCCGTCGGACAACTTCCGGTGTATTCATCTTTCGCCGAATGTTCTTGAATTTCTCCGTAAAGATGTGATGCCACCTCTTGAAGCTGTTGGCTCCGTCGATCGCGAGGTAGGGGTACCTTTCAAACAGAGCTGATATAACCTCCTTCTTCTGAGATTGAGAAGGATAGGTGGTGTACCTCAAGATGGAGTCGGCGATGCCCTGAACCAGGATATGCCTCAGGGACCAGTCCAGCTGTTCCTGGTTCTCTAACGCTCTCTTCAACTTCTGAGGAAAAATGTCACTAGGGAGAATATAAGGACTCGGCCAGGATGACGTCTGGAAATGAATCTCAGGCATGTACTCCAATTCCTCTGGATCATTCTGACCATCATCAGACAAGGGAACTAACTCTTCACCCGACAGATCAATAGTGAGTGGTCCGTCTGTGTCGTCTTGTTCGAGCTGACCAGGACTTGTGTCCGAAAAGGGTGATGTGGGGTTCGGTACTGAAACACCAGGTGGCGCTGACGGCAGACCATCAGCTTCCGGTTCATGTATCTGGAGCACGGGTCTATCACCTGGTATTTTGTTCTCGTGAATCGGATGCGTATAAAAGGACCGTTCATTTGTTGGGAATGATATTTTAGCACTATGGTCAGAGTACTGTCGCCCGTAAGGCAGCTGCACGCATTTCTCAGCCTTCACCGAGTCATACTTCGGAGAAGCATTATTTGAGTAGCTGACACGGATGTCCTTGTTATTAGTAGATACTCGTCGGTTCGAACTCTGGTCCTGTTTCGTATCGGAGCTGTAAATGTTGGGGTTGACGATGCAGGTGACCCTGCTGCGGTCGGGGATGTCGTCGTCGTCTTCAAGGTCAACGTACGTCTCCCAGCTGGCGTCGTAGATCTGCAGCAGTGTGGGCGTGGCAGGGGGCAAGTTGAATCGCTCAAATATAACCTGCCAATGTAGAGTAAGTCAATTGGTTTTATGGTAATATTGTAAGTAGTTCATTTACATCAGGCTGTGAGAATTCCACAATAATCTCACAGGGGGCTTCTTAGTGGTGCGCCCGTGAAGATCCGGGTTAGAATAGGTCTTCAGCAACCCATGCTTGCCATAAAAGGCGACTAGGGGGGATCGGGTGGTCAGGGTCGCTGACTTGGTGGATACATGTCATCGTACCCTACTTACGTGGATCGATGCTCATGATGTCAATCACTGCATTGTCTGGTCCAGACTCGATTATTTACAGGCCGCCGTCATATAGCTAAAATATTTCTGAGAGCGGCGTTAAACAACTTACAAAGATACTGAACTAACATCCATTTCCGTTCAACGTCAAACTTAAATCTAATTTAACCTTTTTTGTTCAGGGCGTTCTGTATTTCTGTATTTCGGATTCGATTTAACTGCCAAGGAACGTCGCCGAAACACTAACATACCCTCCCTATTAACCCTTTCGGGTGTAGAACCCATGGCGAACGACAGGTTGCATGAACTACCCACAACAATATAACACGGTGGCATTATTTGTTCACATTTGGATTTCCTCGAATTATATTATTTTTCCGAGAAACTGAAATCAGATATGTTTGTCTGAATGCTTCGCTGATTCGTGCGGAGAATTTAGAAAACACGACGCTGATTGGCTGGTTAGAAAGTTTACCGATGCGACCTCCCACGTAGGTTCCCTCAGATCTTAACAGAGAGGTATCATATCTGAGTAAAATGATTTAAATGAGATCTGTTTTATTTAAGCCAACTGTTTTCAAATACATAAAACACCCAGAATTCAGACAGCAAATCACCAATAAATCTGATGTGGAGAATCATGTTCAACATCATTGCTGAAGGATAAGGTCAACATAAGGATTTTACTTACGCTTCATATGACAACCCTGATCGGGTCTGTGTGATGTATCAGTTTGCTTGTGAATGTGTCGTGTGCACATGTTGGTTTGTCCAACGCCGCCCTCAACAGTATTCCTGCTATATGACGGCAGTCTGTAAATAATCGAGTCTGAACCAGACAATCCAGTGATTGATATCATGAGCATCGATCTACGCAATTGGGATACGATGATACGATACGATACATCAACCAAGTCAGCGAGCCTGACCACCCTATCCCGTTCGTCGCCTCTTACGACAACAATAGTCGCCATTTACGGCGAGCATAGGTTGCTGAAGACTTTTTCTACCCCGGATCTTCATGGTTCGAATTGTGTACATACTAGAAGTCACCTACCGGCATCAGGTGCTGTCTCGTCCACGGCTCCTTCAGGCGGACGGGCTTCTGGGAGTCTCCGCACTTGACCAGCACACTCCGGACGGCGCACATCTGCACAGAGGAAGTGAGTGAGTTAACTTTAATGCCGCTTCGAACACCCAGTGAGTTATATAGCCTTGTCACACTTAGTCCATCTTTCATACAGCTGATTGTTATTATTTTTTTAGTCTGGATCTGATAAACAAGTGATTGACGCCAACAAACAGCCAGGTCACACACGTGACCTGCTCCCTGGGGACCTGGGTCAGAATAGGTCCCTAGCTGGTTCTATATAAACGAAGAAAAAAAGGGATCGGGTGGATAGGTCCGGAGGCTGGGCTGATTACGTGTCATCGTCCCCCAAGGCCTGGTTTGTTCATTAGCTTTTCAGTTACTGGGTTGTCTGGTCCAGACGCGGAATGTTTCGTACAACTGGTTATTATTATTATCATCATCAACAACAACAAAGTACTATCAACAAAGAGTACTATTTTCCTTATAGGTACAAATGCTTTTACAAATACCACTTGCAGTACTACAAAAACGTCAACCGCCTCAGTGGTCTGGTGGGTAAAGCATCTCTCGGAGAGCGGATGGTCGGTGGTTCGATGCTCAGGGCCCGTCAAACCAAAATAAAACATTAAAAGAATGTACACTACAACTACATCAACAGCTTCTGCTTCTATAGCAATTACTGCTGCTGCTACCTTAGTCTGCCATACAGACCCTGAAATAAATACTAATATATCCAAAAACAGCCCAAGAAAGTCTACAAATGTAGGCAAGTCTAGATTACTGTAGTATCAGTATCTGAAAATGAAGAGAGTCTGGTCTCCTTTTTATTATATTTTATTAAGATAATTTAACAACTGTTGTTGTTTTTTGTAATATATGTTCATTTCAGAGACCAGATGGTAGCCTACTGCTACCACCGTGTTTTGTTAGAGCTGTGTGCTGCTACAATATTTTGTTTTGTTTGTTGTTTAACGCGGCACTCAGCAATATTCCAGCTATATGACGGCGGTCTGTAAATAATCGAGTCTGGACCAGACAAACCAGTGATTGACATCATGAACATCGATCCACGCAATTGGGATACGATGACACCCGATCCCGTTAGTCGCCTCTTACGACAAGCATAGTCGCCTTTTACGGCAAGAATGGGTTGCTGAAGACCTATTCTACCCCGGATCTTCACGGCCCTGCGACAATGTTGTCTCCCTTTTAGTTTCTTAGTATTGTGTTCAGATGTATAATGTAACTTTCAATGAGTGAGTTGAGTTTAACGCCGTGTTGAACAGTATTTCAGTAATGTCACGGTGCGTCAGTCTCAATCGATTTCCACATTGGTGAACGCCATGTGAAAAACATAAAATGTAATATCATGAATGGACTGTGTAAGATGTGACGAATCGTCACATGGCGCCTGCCTGTGGCAGAGGTATTATGCTTGTCGTCTGGCACTCTGGCTAGGAGAGTGGGAATATTGCTGAGTGCGGCGTTAAACAACAAACAAAATAAATTTAACAGGCCGTCAGGATACAACTATAGTTTTCGTGATTGCAACAACATTTTCACTCTCAATATATTCCTCCTTTGGTTTCTCTGGCATTTCATTTGCTTCGTGCAGCACATGATAAGGGAAGAAGGTGGAGCCAGGAGAGGCTGACTCAAGTCGCCATTTTCAGTACAAAGTTTGAACCAACCATCCTCTTAATAATACCACCAGTAGTCATTTTGTCAAAATTCAAAGTATATTTGAAATATGAGATTTGTAAGTAAAGCAATATGGAAATAGATCATTAATATTGAAACAAATACCATATGAAGCATTTACCATGAAGTATATGTCAGCTAATGTAAAACATGCATGGATCTAGAAGAAGGAGTGTGTGTGTGTGGGGGGGGGGGGGGGGGGGGAGAGAGAGAGAGGAAGGGTACCCCCTCTGTTCTCTCAGTTGGTGTGCTCCCCTCTCTGTGTATGTATACGTTTGACACAAACACATGTATTTGTACAGAGACCATAAAAATAGAATACAATCTAGGATGTGTGTTGGTGTGGGGCATCTATTATATTTTGCGGCGTCACTTTTCATGACACTGGAAATGTATGAATCATCTTTATCATGTTGCTGCAAAACGCTGTTACATGTCGTGTGCTACACGAGAGACAACCCCCACCCCCCCCCCCCCAAACAATCTGTACCCGCGTATGTTATAGATTATATCGGTCCTTTGTTTGATATGAAACATGAAAAAGCTTCCATAATACCTCTGCTACAACACACGCATAACATCTACAGGTGCTCCTCATTATATCACATAATGAACGTTTGTGTCTGTAAATCGCGAGACCTGGATGTGAGGCACGTTTGATGAAAATATAAGCAAAATATGACAATACCTATTTAATATGAGAAGGAGATGGTAATAATAATTCAAATAAAAAATACAATTAATAAATTTTAATGTTCGTGGAGGACAGTAGCCCCACGCTATTGAGCATCCATTGTGACGACATGACTGGGTCACACTGACCTGGACGCCAGCTGGTGTAAACTCAACCAGTATGCTTGCACCTACTGTGTGTATTTTTACACCATGTTTCAAAATCATTCTCACACACTGTATCAACATACTATAGACTATGAGATGCGACATCATACATAGCGTAATCGACATAACCCACCTTGAAAATCCCCGACACGATAGCGTTAGGTTACACACACGCAGTCCAGCCATTACATTGGGCATGCACAGCGCATGCGCAGTATCGATTTTTCTGCCCTGTGATGCTTCTATTTTTAGCGCAACTGTCTGTCACAGGGTATGTTTACACGGCTCGGGGCTTGGCTTGTCAATATCACATCAACACGTAGCGTTGCCCCTGTCGATATGGGAAGGTGTGATATTCAACACGTGCGTGTATATGACACACTGGTAGGCGAAAACATATGTCGGTGTGTCATTTGGTAACATTCGAGACTGAGTGCAGTGTATAAATTCGTATTTACATGTATGTGACTTGAAGTAAATAGATACATTTTATATTAACATTTTATATGGCTGTATAGCTGTTGATTTATAATATTCATTACATACTACCTGATAAAGGTTGCTGGAGGGGGCGGGGCACCTATCCTAACCTGGAATCCCCACGATTGAGGGGTTTGTGTGTGTGTGTGTGTGTGTGTGTGTGGGGGGGGGGGGGGGGGGTGTTACTATTGCGTTAGTCGAGTCATATCATGGTGGACACATGAGAAGAAATGCTTTTTAAGCTTTATTTTATTTATTTTCGTGTGACAAATTGTACGATGTGGGAGACAACCATAAGCGTCTTAAGTAATTCACAATATCTGAGTCAGGATTGTGAGTTAAGAAGATTTTCAAAAATCATTTATGAGTATTTAACTAACAATCATATCATAGAATACATTTTGCACACGCACACACGCACGCACGCACGCACGCACGCACGCACCCACACACACGCACACACACACACAAACACACATACATACATACATACATACATACATACATACATACATACATACATACATATTGATTCATAGTCATTCTGTACAGAACAGGAGTAACAACTCTCTTTTAACCAATACCTGACAAAGTTACGCCCTCCTGCTCACAACTTACACATGAAGAGTACACACCAGTCAACTACGTGCTGCGAGGAATACAAATCCTGTCCCGAGTGAATTAATTATGTAAATCCCGAGGGTTGGCGAGGGATGTTCAACATTATTTCAAGAGGGACAGATAATCCGTTTTTCCCGAGTTGCGATTAGATTAACGTTACTCTGTATATTACCTGCAGTTTTGTATCTTGGAAGTTGGAGCGAAATGTACGTGCCCCGCTCATTTAAGATGTATGATTTCATCTTATCTCAAATGTTTGCAACAGTTCTTTCATATGAAGCACTGCTATTAGCCCCGTCGCAGCCATTGCCATCGGGTATGTACGTGTGTGTGTGTGTGTGTGTGTGTGTGTGTGTGTGTGTGTTTTCCATTGCCTCATGAATGGCACTGATTCCGAATCTTCACGAGAGACAAATAAAAAGACTAGCCTAAAAAGCATAATTATTATTATATCTAAACATATAATATTATTTTGAGTATAAATATTGTTTCGTAGCAAATACTCTATTTGTTTGCAGACGTTGGCCAATGATTGGTTGGGGTGAGCAATATTCTCCAAGTGAACATTTGTTGATAAAACAAAAAAGATGAGAAAAGGGGGGATACGTTCAAATGACGTCATTGGTGCACGTCACTGGAACCTTTTCGCGAAAATCGCCGAAAGAAATTATGGAACCGTGAGTCTGGCCAGTTTGACCTGTGTAATGATCCATTTTGACCTACAACATGGAATTTGCAAATGTGGACCTATCTGAAAATACCACATCAGGTCTTACGCAGCTGCTGTCTTCCCTCTGAGGATCTTACAGAAGATGAAGAGACTGGTTGACGGTTTGCGGTGCCCTTATCAACATCGGCCACTAGAAAGACTCCCTTAAATACACGTCAGAACAACTTTATACTACTCAACTTTTGATAGGAATCATCAGACATATCATTCGGTTTAAATATACACTTGACATATAAGAATCAGTTTTATGTATCGTGGAAAGATAAACACATCACTTTCAAAAGTGGAGAAGTATAGATAGTGTTAGACTAACATATAGTCTCTGAAATGAACATATCGTACATAAAAAAACAGTTGTTCAGTTATCTTAATAAAAATATAATAAAAAGGAGCCCAGTGACTCTCTTCATTTTCAGACCTGATACTGCTGTGATCTAGACTTGCCGAACAGTATAGACTTGCATGGGCTGTATTTGATATATATTTGTATCAGGGTCTGTAAGACAGACTAAGATAGTGTTACTCTTCAGATGTAGGGAGTGCTTCCTGGGCATTTACCCTGTAGCGGTCTTTATAACGGTGTTGTGTACTACCGGTATATTGTATGCAGCGGTTTATACTCGTAGTAAGGAGGAAAGGCAAGACGTTATACCCGCCAAATGTCTCAGATTGTCTCCGGAGGCACGGGTGGCCCAGTCGTCTAAGACCCCGCGATTCGATGTGCAGAGTAGCGTCCGTTGAGCATGCCAGAAACCTATGATTGTGGGTTCGAATCCCGGTTCGCCCCGATTATGTTTCCAAGTTTGTATCACTTCGGGCTTTCCTCCCATATTAAGCTGACACGCCGTGATATAACCGGAATACTGTTAAAAGCGACGTTAAACCCAACTCACTCACTCTCAGATTGTCTCAGTAAGTCAGAGATTCCCGCGACTGCGGCAGACCAGATATGAATTTCTTCAAGAATGACGATGTTACATTTCCAGACTTTCGAACGTAGGACGTACACATGATGAACTTTACCGCACAGGGGGGACGTAGAGCTGAAAACGTGTGAAGCAATGTGTTTTCAAGGGATACCACCAAAGGACTTATAATTAGCAACATTGTGTTTTTGAACAATGGAAAAGCTTCGCTTTTCGGGATATCATTAACGCAAAAGTTGTGAAGCGGACCAGTTTGAAATTTCTACTGACAATACAAATGGAAGAAGATTCACCAAGTATTTTCCACGTTTTTTCCCCAAAAATAAATCAATAAATTGTATAATGAATCATAGATTTAAATAGCGCATCTTATCCAGATACTCCCTGCTCAAGAGCGCTCTGTCATATGCTCTTCTGAAGAGGTGGTCTTGAGGGTTGACCGGAAGGTGTTGGAAAACATCCACTGGAAGCTCATTCCATTGAGAAGCGGTATTTCTGCTAAAGGTTCTGTGTCTCCATACGTTGGTGTTCAGGCTGGTGGCCCCACCATCTGCTGTTGGCATGCAGATCGTAATGGCCGGTTGGGGAAACCTTGTAAGTTCTTGTAGGTACATGGGAGCCAGACCATGGAGGGATTTGTAGACAGATGCCAGCAGATTGAACATGATTCGCTGTCTTACTGGTAGCCAGTGCTGTTCTTTGAGGACCGGTGTTATTTGGTTTGTGTGGGGTGGTTTGACACATCGTCACATTGACGTTGAACCCATCCTTCATTACTACAGGGGCGGTCGGGTAGCCTAGTGGTTAAAGCGTTCGCTCGTCACGCCGAAGACCCGGGTTCGATTCCCGACATGGGTACAATGTGTGAAGCCCATTTCTGGTGTTCCCCGCCGTGATATTGCTGAAATATTGCTAAAAGCGGAGTAAAACCATACTCACTCACTCACTCACTTCATTACTACAACATGAAAACAACATGAAAACCATACCTGTCTTATAAACTCTGCGGCAAATATTTGCCACTGATTTTCAGAAAAGCACCACAAACTGTCAAGAAAACCACCTGAGACGAGAAATGACAACATGCCCAGATGTATTGCAAGTTCAATAGCCCAAGACAAACTTGATTGTATGTACAAGGAGTTTTTTTCCCGGAGGCCGGTTTAGATATAACGGGATGTACAGGGCAATCTTGTAGAAACGGGTGTGCTGACAGATTTGCTCTTTCTTAGTCTTATATCGTGGCAGAAGCTTTAAGTACGAATATGTATTCTCAATAGAACAGACCAGTGTACAGTATTTCATTATCTGCTGTAATGGTGTTACATAATAATTATTTACAGAATCGACTTTATATGCAGTGGTGGTGTCTCAGATCGCATCCATTTTTACACCAAACACTTTACTAAGAGATATATTTTAATAGCTCATAGCATTGACATTCAACGAGCATTTCAGGTACGATACACACATTTAAATTCGAGTCCGAGATGACGAGATCCCATACACAAAACGAACACGTGTTCTGCTATAAATAGCTCATGAGGTTGAGGTCAGAGGGCATAGCCTCGCTAAGACAAACGGATGTTGATACTCGCCAGCTGACAAGAGCTGTGTTTTACATGTGATAATGGCTGATTACGATCGTCATATATGACACTATCAGATCTGAAAAAGGTAAAACCCCTACCCCTTGTCGTAGGATTTAGCTTCTTCCGTATTTACACCGGTTTTCGTACTGATGGTTGAACGGAAGCTGTTGCGACGTGCCGGCGGACATGACTCGAATATTCTCAACTTGTCCATCTGTTTATTAGAAACGACAAAAGGTCATTCGATAGACAGTTTGTGTCAGCGAAACGGAAAGGAAGAATATTCACTTATTTATGGAATCCATCTGTTTGTTGGTCGTTGGAAACCCTAAATTTGTCATAAGCTGCCCGCTCGACCGACAACAGCACGCCCGACGATCAACACTGAAGATGAGTGAAATGAAAGTTAAAGAGGAGAAAAAGCTTTAAATATTGAGTTGACAAACATTTCGTCTTATTCGGAACTTCGCTTGTACAAGTGTAGCGTGTATATTGGGCTTATCAAAGATGGTGTATACTTGAAGTGTCTGATAGATTTCAATTCAAGTTGACAAGATACACTATTTTGAAAACTAATTAAACACAAAGGGTGCCCAGATACCTCATATATAGCTTCCTGATTCAGAAATTGGATGGCTGGACCATGGATTTTTCAATCCCATTTTTAATCAATTAGAAGAAAACATATAAACAAGGAAAAGTAGTATAATGTATTATTTCCTGGATTGAAGTTAATAGATTTTGGTGTATGTTCATGTACCTCATATAGATAATCGGTTCCAGGAAGTAGCAGTTGATTCGCACCGATTCAATATGTCCGATTCAAATTCTGATTCACATCTGGATGAAAAACTG